ACATACTTAGCTTTGCATGGGCTGCATTAAAAAGACATCATATGGACTCTTTGGCTTCATGTTTCACTCATTCATATCCTCCATGATGTGATTTTTCATCGTGGAACAGTTTTTATTCTCCATCATGGTAGAATTTTTATATATTATTATCTTAAGAAACATAGTTCTGAACTCAGTGCATTTTAGTGAAGCACTCGTGCTGCTTCGTAATATTAATATTGTCCCAAAACTGAATTGGGAAATTGTTATTTTCTTTGAAGATGATGAAGGTATACATGTAGGACTAGTGCTAATGCTGTTGCTGAGTGTGGTTCTTAGAAGAGGTGTAATGCCCTGTGTTGGAACGGTTGCTCTACTAGCTGTAGTACTGCTGCGAGGAGAGACAGTCATTCAGGCACGCAAAGCTTTCCTTTGTCACTGAAAACTTCCTCCTTTCTCCAGCTAACCTCGCTTTTCTAACAGAAGACATGGCCTCGCTTATAAACCTCACCCTGCTTGTGTGCAGGCACAGCTGGTGATTGCATGTGTAGGGAGCACTTGAGCTAAGGCTGCTCCACTGGCATCAGAGGTAGCTGCAGTGTTACCGCCAAATCCACAGCCCTCATTTAGCTGCTGAAGCTGTTGTATCTGATGCGGGGTGTGGGAGAATTTATCTCTCTACTGCATTATGCACTTCTTTTTTTTCACCAAGCTACTTGCCTGTGTTTCAGTCCTCAGTAAGTATACCAGTGTTTGACTTGAGCAAAGCAGAGACTGGGACTCAGGTCCGCCCCTGGCCGATGGTTCCTCTTCTCTCTCTGGGTAGGCAGAGCATGTAGGCTCAGTTTCAGACAGACAGACCCCGTACACCTGTGTTTTCTGCAGGACATGGTTTGGTAGCCATCCTGGGAGGGCACTTACAGGAGGATGAGGTGACAAGGGATGCGATGGATGTGCTTTGCTGCTCGTTCTCAGTGAGGTTTGGGTTGGATCTGGGTGCTCACCTCCCAGCCCTGTGAACCCTGCAGGCATTATGTAGGGTGCTCAGAAATGTTGATGGGCCTATAGGTGCCTCAGGGGTTGGGCTGCAGCACACTGTAATTTTGAAGACTTTAATTTGTCCGTGATTGTCCCTGAGGGTCTGGCACCCCTTTATGGATCTTTCTGGACAGGAAAGTCATCATCAGCACACTCCTCCAGTGCACCAGGCACCATAGTTTGCATACCTTTCCCCCCAGGGTGGTGATGAGTAGACAGATAATTGGTGACTGTTCCTCAAGCCTCAGGGTGCTGTTGGGTGGAGTTTCGAGGCACTGCTGTGAGAAGAGTGTACTTTCATGAGCACAGCCTGGTTTGTGGGTCTTCCCAGTCTCATGGAGTATCAGTGGGCATGGTGGTGCAACTCCTCTGCAGTCAGTCCTGTACCCTCTGCCAGGGAGATCGCCTCCTTGACAAAATGCAGCTTTTACCTGTGTAAGAACAAAAGATACTTGCAGAAGCTGCTGCAACTCCCACAATATGTCCAAGGAAGGGATAGTCTGACCCTTGTCTATGCTAATAGCTTGTTTTCCTTGATACCCTACCTACCCCCTCAAAGCATCCATGTGAACATCTGTGTCCTCTCCTACCCTTTATGATCACATTGCCAGCCATTTGAAATCTATCACTGGATGGAGTGTTTTGCCTCCATCAGGTAAAGAGGACTTCTCAGTGACCCTGTTTGTGGATCTTCAGTGGTGCTATTACAAGCCAAGCAGATAGAGCTCCCTTGTCCTTCAGCAACTCTTGTGTATTTTTCCCTGCATATCCAGGCTGTGCAATCATGTTTCTGGCCTCCTGTATGTGGCTGTAGCCTCAATCCTTGGCTGATCTCTACCGAGGGACTGCTCATCGAAGGTCATCGCCCTCCTGCACTACTCTTACTCTTCTCACCTCTCTTTTTTGTCATCAGACTGCTGATTCTGGCTGGCTTTGCTGTCCTTTTTCTGTCCTTGCCCTCACACGCTTGCTTTCCTTTCCTTCTTTTTATCAGTCAGTGCACTGGCTGAATGCCAAAGATACTTGGTTTTGATCTACAAAGTCATATAAAAATATGGTTTAAAGTCCTTTAAACACACGAATCAGCTGCTCTTGTTATGTTGTGCCTCTGGTTTTGCTAAAAGGCCTCAGGGTGTTTTCAGCCAGGTACTTGCATCTTCCCATGTTCACTTCTGCTGCTGGAAGCTTATTTGGTTTCACAGTACTTGTATCTGAGGAGGCTTCATGTGGACACTGCTTGAATTTCTATAGTTTATCAAAAGGTTGTTCTTCGAAATTGCTATTTCATGTACCCAACTGTTTTTTTTGACTACAACTATATGTGGAAGCTGTGTTTGCAGGGGTGAGAGCTCTGGGGCCCTTTGGAGAAGTCCTTCACCTTTCTGCCTTTCATGCTGCTGTCAAGCATACTGGAGGCTTTCACCCTGCCCCCCTGGTCACCCGTTGTGGCTGCATCCAGCATACAGAGCAAAGTGGAGATGAGTAGCTAAAATGTTCATTTCTCTGGAGTCCATTCCATCCCCCACCTCTGACTCAGCTAACATATTTGATTTCTCTGCATTTTCTTTTCTCATGAAAAAAAACACTCAAGAAAAATCAGTTTTAGATAAGGCTGTAAATGTTGCTTTTCGTATATTAATTCTGTGGAACAGCAGAACAGGAATGCTTGTTAACTGTGGAAATGATACAGTAAGAACTTCTCATGTGAAGTGGCACCTAGTGGCTGGTTGGAAGTTTTGCATCCCGAGTTAAATAAGAATCACTATGATTATATAAGCCATAAAAGCCAAAGTACAATTCTTATGCACAATAAGTGATGAAGAGGCATTTCATATTCTGTTGGTTTTGTTAAAATTCCTTTATAAAGGAATGTGTTTCATTTAAGCACTAAAACTTAGACTGAACCACTGCATTCTTGGGCCAGGAGTACATTAGTTCAGCTTTAGTCTTTCCTTTTTTGATGAGTAAAATGGCTATTAATTGCTGAAGAAGTTAATTGCCAGTGATCCCTACAGTGAAATTTTGCCTGAGCAAAATCATTAGACCTTGCTTATTCTAATAAGTTCCTTGTGCATCTGTGGGGTGGCTTCAGGCAGAATCCTTGTGACACAAAGATGATTGTGCATCTGAGTATGTGGTCAGTTCAGAGCTACTGGAAAATGTGTCTTACATAACACATATGAAAAAGATTAGCAGTTTCAGAGTCGTCATCATCTATAATTCTAAAGGATATTACAAAGGAGATTAATTAATATAATATATTTGTAGCAAGGACCAGGAAACATAAAATGAACTCCTCCATTTATGTGAAATTGTGCAGTTTACAAGCTCTGGAGAGGTTACATGAATGGAAAAATGAAATACATACTTTCAAATCAGTAGAAGTCATCCATGATGCTGTATTTTTTGGCTTTGTTTCTTGCTTTATTTTTCTGGGTGGCCATTTTTAACTTATGTAGGAATTTTCTTTCAAAAGAACTGAGCACCTGTGTGTTAGGAAGGTATGCAGGAACAGCAAAGGCTCAGCATCTCTGAAAATGAGGCTGAACGTATTGTCTTGGCCACTCAAAACTGGCCACCAGATTTGAAAATTCAGTTGTGTTTTGCCTGGATCACACAGTGAGCTGAGCGTCCCAGGCTGGAGGAAAGCTTGGGGCTGCTGATTCCCATGTTTTACCCATGAAAACATGTACTTCATTATCTGAGATATGTAGGCAACAGCATTGAGTGATTTTATTTGTAAAATCTTTGGTTTCCTTTCTCTGCTATCACACACTGCTGTACTTACCTAGTGCTTGGGGGTGAAGTTGTTTAACCACAGCATATACCAGAGGCTAAGGCTGCAGGATTTTATAGGAACAGCTAGTAAAAGTTTTGGTGATTACTTTTCTCTAGACCTCTGTGCAGTTTTTTTTACAAGAAAAATATTGCCTATTGCAACCTATTTAATTTTCAACCCAGGTAGTGGTGAAGTGAACATTAGAAGATGGGTCTTGACTTCACAGTCCTGGTCTGTTACAAGGGAGAGGAATCTGATGTTCTAGTGTAGTTAAGATGTAGGTCTCAGGCTAAGGCCCTGAGGCTTGCAGTGCAAAGATGCCCCTTTTTTTTTTTTTTTTTTTTTTTAAGAAACTGCATAAAAAAGGATCAGCTCCTAGCAAAGGCTGGCAGGCTGATAAGATGTGGGTAGCAAAGAAGAGGGCTTTTTTAGCCACTGCCCTGTAAAGCTACATGGTGGGGAAGGACAGATATTACAGCAGGTAAAAGGTACCTCTAAATAAAGCTCAAAATTGTATTGCAAGATAGTTTAAAGAAAACTGTACCGTGTTTCTTAACGCCAGTACAGAATATGGGACAGGTCCCAAGGGAAGCTCAGTCCATCCAAGGGCTTACAAATCTTGACTCCGTCCCTTTAAATGTAATTGTTAGTAAACACTTTAATGAAAGAAGCTTTCATCAGTGAAAAAAAAAGTAGCAAACTAACCTGGTAAATAATTTGTCTTGGCAAATAATATTTAAGCCACCGATTTGAACCGTAATTCTGCTCAGTATTATCATTTGCTTTGTAAATAGAAGTGCTTATCTAAACAGCCGAGCTTTCTGTTGTTGATGAAAATGAGAAAATGTGGGGCAGAGGGAACGTGTCACTTCCCTTCCTTTCTGGAAGTCCGCGGTTTCCAGCTATTCAGATAAAACTGCTTGCGTTTCCATCGATCCGAGCCTTGCACCGCCACAGCGACACGGGATAACAGCGCGGAAAAATGACCCCCCGCTCTGAAGGTGTCCCCAGTTTGGGGGGCATTCTGCTCTGCAACCCAGTTAGAAACTTCAGGAGCACCCTTGGAGAATGAGAGTGGCACCTGAGCTCCCCAAAGCCCACCCGGCGTGGCGAGGTCGGGAGCTGTGGCTGCGTGCTGACCCCGTCGGCCGAGCCCACCGACCTGCGGCGCCCGCAACGTTGGGCGACCCTGGAGGGTGGCATCGGGATATTTTCATCTCGCAGCCCCGAATGAGCTTCCCCCCCTTCTTCTCTGAGCCAGATGGAGACGCATTTGGTTTCTCTTTTAACCATGTTACTTTTGCAAGGAGAATAAAATGAGCAGGAACAGCTATTGGCCGCCGCAACATAAGAAAGCCCTGCTCTGCCAGAGGAAACCACATAAAAGCGTGCGTGTGTGTGTTTGGGGGGAGGGCGCAGCGAGGGATGATGCCTGGAGCTTCTTGCACTCGGAGCTGCGATTTGTGAGTGAAACATGATGAAATCGCCCCCTGGACAAATCACACGAGCCTGTCAACCTCACCAGGTGGGATTACTTGTAGCTAATAGCCCGAACTCCCAGAGCAAACAGAGCTCTGCGCTCACTATAAAGAAAAGGCCAGGGTGCCGCGCAGGCTTTTCAAGAATCCTCTAGTATGGCTAAGAAGGGCTGCGTCCACTCGCACCAGGTAGGGGAGGAGAGGAGCGGAGCGTGTTTGCTTTTAGAGGAGGAGTAGCCCGTCTCTCCTGAATAAGCTCCTACAAAAAGGAGCGTTTCAGCTTCAGAAAGAGATGTTTTATTCATAAACCCCTTCTGGTTTGTGTTACTCTCCAACGGTGACGCTGTCAGCTGCTGCTCCAGTGATGGGAACTGCAGTGCTGGGGAGCTCGAATGTACAGAGGACCATCTCTGTCCCTTTAATCGTAATGCTCTGAGCTCGAGAGTCCTGCTTTTTGCACAGTTTGCTTACTTTGCTGTTTTACTTTTGCAGGTTATATCTTTATTTGCTTTTGCCTTTGGAGTAAATGTCTGCATGGGATTTACAACACATCGATTTAGGAGATCTGAAGAATGGGATGAGGGCCCAGTCTCAGGTACAGTAACGGACATAAATTGTACCTCGCAATACCCTTATGTTATATACTGCGGTTAGAAACCGCTCCTACTCCAAAACAGTAGTTTGCTTGTTCCTTTTCCCTCTAGGATATAGAGAAGAATAAATAACTTGCCGAGCTGGAGTCAGTTGACCTTTGGGACTCACCTATAGGTCTCCTATTTACTTAAACTTCTGCTCTGTGTGCATGTGACTATGGAAAATCTAGCTTATTTTAGGACTGAGCACTGTCAGTCTCACAGAGACCGGTCTCATCAGCTCCTACATAGTATTTGCCATGTTTTGGGCTCTGCACAGTTTCCTTCTAGAGCTAAGAGAAACTCCCCGGTGGGTTTAAGGGTACTGGTTTTATTTTGGTAGCTGTTGAAGCGGTTTCGAGAAACTTGATTAATGCTTTCAAGAGGCGCTGGTGAGAAAAGCTTTTGGGATTTCTGTGGCTCCTGAGGTCATGCTGGTTTGTGAACAGTAGACGGCAGACATCTGACGGCGGAGAGGGCCGGGGAGAGGAGAGCAGGTGTTCCCGCAGATGTGCTGTCACCGAGTCCGCTGTTTTTCTTTCACCTCCTACTTTTTTCTTTGGAGGAAAGCAAGAACATGCCACAGAAGGGACTGTTGTTTGTGTTCTGGGGCAGTATAGGGTTTTGTGAGCTCAGACATAGTCCAAGTGGAAAAATATATAAAATGGAAAACTAGTCTTTTTTTTTTTTTTTTTTTTTTTTAAAAATAAAAAGGTAGGCTTGACTTGTGTCTCTGTTCCTTCCTTTGGCAGGAGAAAGAAAACCTGTGGTCACTGACTTAGAGTTGGTTAATATAACTGAAGTGAAAGGGTTTCATTTGCAGTACCCGTCTGTAATGATAGCTTGTGAATTTTAATTATAAAATTGTTTGCCGTGGCCAGAGTTTGTTGTGTTCCTGGTAATATATGTGTCCCTCTCTCCTCCCCAGCCCTACCCCCCCTCCCCGGTCTTTCACAGGGATTGCTGTCTAATCACAGCCACTATCAGGGCTGCTGATCACTCAGCAGAGGCATTTTAGGTAATCAAAAAGATAATGACTGTTGCTTTTGAGCTTTATAGAACAGTAAACATTTTGTTTGAAAAACAAATGTATTTCTATTTTTATCCCCGAGTGCATGAACTGGAGAGCCGATGCGTAGCGTGTGTAATAGTGATGTGAAGGATTTGCCTTTCATGTCTTCAGCACCTGACTGCCGGTTGCTTTGCTTTCGCTGGTGACAGTCTCGGCTTTAGGGCAGGGCTGCTCCGCTGAGTTTCACTGAAGTCCCGAAGTTCTGATACTGGGGACCCACTGCAGCTCATCAGTGCCAGCTCTGCTGAGCCAACCAGCGCTGGTCAACACCACCAGGGCTGGGTCAGCAGCTGCCTGCTGTTTCCACTAGCAGGGGGTTTAGCTCAATGTCAAGGAAAATAGGAAGAAATACAGGATCTCTTGCAAGAGGGCAGGAGTAGGGGTACTTTTGGCAAGTCTGTTGAGAATTTGCTTACAGGTGGGATTGGACCAGCCCCTGGTATTGAAATAGTCCAGTCCAGGGTGCAACAATGAGAGATGGGAAAGTATTGGAGTGTTTTGTCACTTCTGTGTTTCTGCAGCTTGGTTACTTTTGTTGCAGTAAAAAGTATTATAGTCCTGTATGTCTAAAGGAGAAAGTAAAATGTTAGATTGGAGAAGCGCTTAATAAACTAAAAGCACTGTGATCAAAGAACCTATTTAGGCTCTCCTGATTGCATGACTTCCAGTTATACTTAATCAGAAGTCCAGTGCAATGAAATATCCAGAATAAAAAATTAGCATAAATTCTTTTCCAACTTCCTTGTCTTATTTATTTCCAAGTTTCTTGATGTTTAGAATTAATTGTTTTGGATTGACAAAACACTCTCTTTATCAACCATTGCTGTATAGACCATTTTCTTATTCTCCGGAGGTATGCCATGATTGTAAGCAAACTTTGGTTTTCATCTAGCATAGAACTCCTCTGAGTCAAAAACAATGTGGTATTTTTTTCCTAGTCCCTTATAAATGCAGGTCAAAGAAGTGCCATAATGTTTAAAAATCCCTTCTTGATCTCTTTTTACAGTGTACAGATATATAAGCCTTTATATATTTAAGATATTTAATATTTGTACCAAAAAAAAAATATTCAATTGAAATAATGTGTTGATTTGAAATTTCTAAAAGAGATTAGAGAACCAAGGCTCCCATTTTTTCATAACTTTGCCTTTGTAATTTTTTTGCTTTATGAACTTTCTAGACATCTTTGTAAGCTCTTTCATGGAAAATGGCCTTGGTAGTCTCCTGAAGCATGTTCCTTGGTCATGATAGGATGATAGATTAAATTTTGGAAGAAGAAATACTGTAGTTTTTCTATCCTTTCTCACTGAATTTTGAAGTGTGTCCTTAAACATGGAGGCATATCTTTCTTGTATTGGAACAGATAACATGTGTTTTTTACTTTAAGTCACTTTTCATTGAAATTTTACTCATTGTAATGGCATTCTGCAAAAATGAAATGCAAGTTCATTATATGAATATAATCTAGTAAAACTGGTGTTCCAGATATTTTGTACAGGTATTTGGTTGATCCATATAGGTTCTGTATAGAATCCAAAATGGCAGATTCTTACCAGATAGTCTCCTTCCTGTAACAACTATATATGCATGTCTATATTGTGTAGTCCTATCACTGAAATACTACTGGAAATAAATGGGTTTGATTAAAAAAAAAAATAAAAAAATTAAATATTGTAATCAGATAGAATCAGAGCAAGTAGTTTGATATGGCACTTTCCAAGGCAGATATAACACATTTACAATGGAAATGTAATAACCTCCATGGACCAAATCAGGAAGACCCTATGTAACTTCTCTCTCTAACCTCTGACATGAGACAATCGTTAGATGGTGGTTTTGAGCTTATTTGGCCAAAAAAAGAATGCATGGAAAGGGATGTGATAAGCTTTATGTATTAAATAAGGAGGGCAGGATCTTCAGGTCCCTCTGACTGCAGGAGCTGTTAGAGGGATGCAGGAATACTGAAAAGTTTTTTGAAATTGTGTAAGTTTGTTCTGTACAAGGGTTTCTGTTAATCTGAAAATGCTCATCAGGAATGGAGGTCCTGATGATATATTTTCAAACTATTCTGCATGCACCAGTACCTGTGCCATGGCATTGTGAACGACCTGAAAATCATGGTCTGGCTGCAAAGGCAAGGTCAAGCATGATAAACAAAGGAACAGTCTTGATGTATTCAGAGATCAGAGGAATTAAACCAAGTCCTCTTTTGTATTGCTATATGGAAAGTGTCCTACATTGACTCAGGAGGTGTGTCTTGAATTTGCTAAGTAATACGGGATAATTTGTCACATCAGTAATAAAGTGGTTGTCAAGAGATGTGAAAAAATAACAGGCAAGGTAGCTGGGCTAAACCTTTCTTATGTGAAATGGAAACCCTACTTGCAATTATAGAAGATGGAGCTAGAAGGGACCTTGAACAGCTGTGTAGACCTTCTCTGTATCCCAAGACATGGTCAGTTATTCCTGAAGTGCTCCTGACAGGTCATGGTCTAACCTGTTCTTCAAAATCTCCAAGATCAGACTGCACAGCCTCTGTGAGCAATTTGTTCCAGTGGTTTCCTGATAAATGAGCTGCTCTTTACAACAGCTAGACATTCCTTGAGCTACAGTTGACTCTATCCCTTATGTAATCTGCAGTCAGATTTACACCTTCTCTTTCCTAAATGCATGTTGACATGTGGTTTTTGACCTTCTGAAATGATCCCACTCTCATCCCTTTGAAATGAAGAGGGCAATGCAAGTGTAAGGGATATATAGTGTATGCTAGTATGTAATACCTCTGAGTCCATAATACCTTTGATTTGCAGTTCACTGGATCTGTGACCTATCTTCCAAAAAGAAAAGTAGAATAAGAGGTTAAATAATGTGGAAATATTATTTAGTAACAGATTTTCAGAAGCATTTGGCAGGAAGCAGCTGTCATTAAGAATAAGGAACAAGACTTCATATCTCTGAAAATCTGAGTTAGCATGCTTTGAAACAATTCTCATGCGATTAATTTCTAACATGGCTTTGTGGCCTATTTATGTGAGCAAAGAAAATACTGATCTGTGTGTTGCCAGCATAGCTACATGACCTTTAGCTCCTTGGAACTCCAGATGGCCAAAATATTGAAGGCTCATTAAGAGCACACTTTCAGGGCAATATATAGGGAATATATATATGTATTCCTCTAGAGTGTAACTTTACTGTGTGCATGATGTCACTTGATTCGAGCATTACTGACCTGACTGAAAAAAAACACAAAAGCAGAGAGACAGAGTTGTCTACTACTACCTTTTCCAGCAGTCATATGAATGTGACTTGTCACTGTCATGATCCATGACTGCACCCATGGTAGGTTTGGGTTTTTTATCCATTATCTTGCTGTAGTATTGATTTGCTGCCATGCTTGCTCCCTGAAGTGGTTTATGCTGGTGTCCAACCCAGTGGCGCTCCAGGGGAAGTGGTGGAAGAGTAGTGCTGGGGATGGGAGCTTGTGGATCATCAACTATGACAGCGTCACCTCCAAACTCCCCCTTATCATTTTTTCCATCCATTCTCACAGTGTTGGGATGATGCCATCTTGTCTGGGAAGAGATTTCCCCTCAGTTTATGTAGAGACTAAACTTTCAGCAGTGTAGAAGACTAGGGGAAAAATATATAAGAAGAGATCAGATCAGCTGTTTCCTAAAAGTGCCATTGCATCAGTCGTCTTAGAATCATACTGCTAGTCATGGCGAGGTTTACCAAACCCAAGCTCTGGTCTAAAAGAAAACAAACCCCAAGACCATTTCAAACACTTAATTTTAATAGGTCTCTCAAGGAACAAAAGACATTGTGAAATTTTCCTTGGGACACCTCTGTTTTTAAAGAATATCATACATTTATTGTTTTATTTCATAAAATACGATTAACCCAAGAGAGTAGCATACAATTGTCCTGCTTCATATAAGCTGCTATGTAGGATTCTCTTATAAGAAAAATCTAAAAATTAGTAAGTTTTGAGAAGAGAGAAATACATGTAGCTTTGACAGTAAGGGCCCTTACTGATAAATAGATTACTGAAATCTAATACATTATTCATGGTTTTCAAACTGGCAGTCCTCCATTTAATTATACACATCAAATATATTGATCTTTTACATACTTCTGTATTTTGATAAGTTTTTATAATATAATGCTCTGCAGAAGTCTACCGAAAAGCCTTGCTTTACTTCACCATTAATTTATAGAACATCTTACAGTTTTCTTTCACGCTTGACATTGATTTGGCCCCTTCCAGTATGGCCAACCAAGTCCTGCTGACTGCGTGTAGATTAATTGCAGTCCTTTAATTGCAGTCCTTTCCTATGCAAACTGCCCAGCCAGCCATGAAAATGTCACTTGGTTTCTGAAAACAAAGACCTGTTTCTGAGGAATAGCTGCAGCTCCTGGAATGGGGCCTTGGAGACTTCAATACATTTCTGCTAATGATCTCTTGATTGTTACAGAAGTAAAGCCAGGGCTGGTTTTTTTTGCGGGATGTTATCACAGCATGCTGCTTCCTTTTTTTTCTTCTTTCTTTTCCTTCCCAAAAAGAGCAACATTTTTGGAATTTGTTCTTTTTTTTTTTTTTTTTTTTTTAACCCTTCTCCTCTCTCTGCTTCCTTCCCCAGAGCAGGCAGACGAGGTTTTGCTCATCTGAGTGGCTCAGGGCTGAGCTGCCTGTCCCACTGCTGCCAGCCTGACAGATGTTGCCCTGTTTCTTGTTCCACACAGTTCTGTCAGATTCCCCCTGGATCAGTACCTCTGGCTCCTGCAAGAACAGATGCTTTGAACTTCAAGAGGCAGAGCCTCCTGGCTGCCGCTGTGACAACCTGTGCAAGAGCTACAACAGCTGCTGCTTTGACTTTGATGAGCTGTGCTTAAAGACAGGTACGATGGGCCTCCTGTCCCGCACTGCTGGCACCTGATTTCTGCCAGCAGTCGGAACCCGCATGATAAACCAGCGCTCCCTGCCATAACCTGCACCTCCTCCTAGCCTTGCCTTGCCTTGCCAGGCAGGGTTGGCTCAGCCCGAAATACAGCCCATGCTTCCTTGCAAGGAGCAGTAGGGATGCGCACCTATTACTCCTCACTGCTGGGTTTTGGCCATGGTTTCCAGGACAGAAGCAGCAGGGTACTATCCATACTACATGAAAAATAGATCTTCTGATACTCAAATAAAAGTAATAATCAGTGTTCAGACACCACTTAAACCTCTAGGTTACAATGAAGAGAGACATGGTAAAGGCTGGAGGTAGGTCACTGTGTGTCAACCATCCTTTTTTGTCCCAAAGGATAACTTAATACTGGATCAATTCATGCTTGCTTTTGGGCTGTGCATTGCGGTTACTCATGAAGGTGCCTCGGAAGCTGGGAGGGTTGAAGCAGGACGGGTCCCCTCGGAGTGACCTGCAAGTGACAGGCTGGGCTTGTTACCCTCGCCTCAGACTCTGGTTCCCAGATGTCATATAATACATTGGTAAAAACTTGACTTCAATTCATGGGACCCTGGGGGGTGGAAATACAGCACAAGGTTCAATTTCTTTTTGTGTTTTTCATGAGTCATAGGCAAGGAAAACTTCAAAGAGGGCCATGAGTTATGTTTTACTTCTTAGCACAGTGCATTTAAATTAGTAGTTGTGCCCATCTCCTTGAGTGTTTGCACAGTGGTCAGAGTTGACACAGGTGCCTTCTACTTTTGCCACTGAATATTTTCTTGCTTTATCAAAGAATTACACTTCCTAAGCAGCCAGAAGAGAAGTTAAAAATATCATTGCTCATGGATGTGCCATGCTTGAGAGTCCTGACTTCCTCAGTTCTGTTTATAGTGATATCCTTTCAATAGCTTGGTACCAAAAAATGGTGAGCTAACCCAATAGGAAGAACTACTATGGTTTCAGGCCAAAAACTTTTGAATTTTAGGCCGATACTGTTTTGCCCTTGGTGTAAATGGCTGCAGAATGAGAGGCTCTTTTTAAAGACTTTCAGCACAATACAAGATGCTTTCTATGAAAGGGCAGATTTTCAGTTCCTTAGCCTCCTGTCTGCCCTGCACCCTGTCCATATATGCGTATGGATACCTGCATAGCCCTTGGGATTGTGTGAATTGTCACATACTCCCATAGGCATTTATTAAGGCAATTATCACATGTACAATCTCAAAATATTGCATATTTTTAGAAAAAAGCTCCAAATGATGGAGAAAAGGAAGACATTGCTGGGTGCATCTTGTCTAAAGTGAATTTTAGTTTCTTGTTGGTTGGGCCAGGATGTGGAAAACCATATGCTTACATCCTTAGGTCCTATTCCATAGTGTAGCGATGTACTGCCCTTGAGAGATCACTGCAATTTAGACAGGCCCTTAGTTCCTAACTACTTTCACAAGATGAGAAGAGCTGGAGTGCTGTACAGCAGTCCTGCCACGCTTTTTTCTGAAGAGCAGCTCTTCTCATAACTTGGCAGTTGGTGCTGAATCTGACCTCTGTGTAAGGAACTGATGGAAGTAAAGCATCAGTTTGCACCCACATAGTCTCTTTTCAATTTTCTCTTATTTCCTATGGATTGAACTGGGGGCTCAAGTAGTTGGGGAAAAAATAATGGATTACTCAAGAAGCACTAGAATTCTTAGTTTGTGCTTCAGGCCCCACCATTTATCTGTCAAGATCCTTTCTTGTCATGCCTTTCCACACTTTTTCTGGCATTCAGATTGTACAAAACCTGGAGTACAACACCTGTGTGTGGGTGGAGGAGCTCTCCTGCACTTGCAGGACATAGGGGTCTTTTGTTTGTGGTTGACATGCCTAGTTCAGAAGTCTTGAAATAACTCAAATGAGGCCATAAACTTTACATCCAACTTTAATGACTAGATTTTTGTCACTGGCTTGAGTGAGTACTACTTGATTCGATTATAATCTCTCATTCTTGCTTACCTTGTGAATATTTTAGCTCGGGGCTGGGAATGTACCAAAGATCGCTGTGGAGAAACCAGGAATGATGACAATGCTTGTCACTGCTCTGAAGACTGCTTAAGTAGAGGAGATTGTTGTACTAATTACCAAGTCGTTTGCAAAGGTACGTCTTTGGTCTTTCTACCTCTTATCTTTCCAAGCCAGATAGAAGACAGCCCTGTGGGTAAAGAGTTTTCTTCTAAAGGAGGAACCTTCTTGGTTCTGATTTTGTTGGAGGGGGGGGGGGAAAGAATGGAGAATCACATTTGTAATTTTTGTGGCACTACCAGAGGTGAATACTTGTAGTTTATTGATGGTAGAAGGACGTTGCCTTTGTCTGTAGAGATACTGATAGAAAAAGAGAAGGTGTAGGTGGATGAAGAATTTAAAGCAAAACATAGAGGTGTTTAGATGCATTTGTCTGCATCGCAGGGAAAGCAGGGATACCTGACAGTTTCTGAAGGAATGGAGCATTCCTAGATATGTTATCTCTGTCTTGAAGACCTCTTCCCACTCTCCACAAAAGCTCCTGCTCAAACTACTTGGCCTAACACCTGCAGGCTTTGTTTCTTGTGAGAGAGGACTTGTGAGATGATGAGGGCTGTAATTTGCAAATTCTAGACAGGCCATGACTGCAGTACAGCCTGCACCGGTTGGTGGGTGGATGGGCTGTGAAGGCTTAATTTTCATCCTTTACCCCAATCTTTTGAAGCATGTACTGCCTTGTGTAATGTATCTCCCATTTGGAGCAGGTCATCTTATTCTTGGTAGTCAACACTACAGGTTGTCCTTCTATATCTCAGCTAGTTCTTAGTTTTTTCATTCATTAACTTTACTGGTGGGAGGGTTACAGTTTGAAATGTCCTTTTGCACATTTTGGCCAACTGCATAAGTTCATGAAATCATAACAGTCCAGATCCATACACTGAAAATGGGCTTTTCCTTACTCGAGTTTTGCTGTTGGGAATCCAAATTAAATGTGTCTTCCAGCAAGTCCCCATAGACTATGTTCTTCCTTTTCCCAAAGAATCACAAGGCTGAGACCACTTAAATGCTGGTATAGTTTTCAATTCCTGCCTTTTTTGTGAGGTGACTCTTACAAGGGTCAAGACAGGAATTTACATGTCTCCAGGTTTAATGTACATAATCTTTGTTCATTTGGCTAATAACAAATGATCTCAGTGACCCTGGCTTTCTGACAGGAGTAAGCCTTATGTGAGAACAGTGTTTCCTCTTTATTCCTGCCTTAGCCTATCTGAGGATAGTGTGTTGGTTTTGGGTTTTTTTTCTTGGAAATTGTCCCTCCACCTCCTGTCACGGTCAGTTGGAATTGCTGCAGGACACATTTTCTGCAGATTTTTTCTATGGTGCTTTTTGTTTTGTTCTTTTAATTGAACTTCAGTTCCTTTAGTAGTGCCAAGTTCCCTGATTAGCTAATAATTTGTTTTTCAATTGACCTGTGAAAGTGCAAGTCATGAGCCACTCTATAGTCAGCATTCAGCAGTGAAAACCTTAAGAAAATAGTTGATTACATAAAGTAATTTTAACTAATCTAGCTCTGAAAGAGTATTAATGCTTTTTTTAGCTGTGTCTGAGTCTCACCTGATCCATGAGCTGATCAGCTCTCTAAACCAGCTGGAAACTATTTAGAGTTGTTTTTCTTCCCCAGAATGAATTTTATTTTATGTCTTTAGCCAGCTGAATCAGCTCATGGAGACATCAGAGCTGGTGAGGAGGAGGGTGGGAATTCACAGCCAGAAGCAGCACTACCTGTTTTTGACAGATCAAAAATAAAAAAATTAAAATAGATGACCACTGTGCCTAAAGCGTTACCACTGTCTCCTGCGGCCAAAAGGACACTTTTAACTGCAGTTTTAATAGCTACTTGTAGGAGTGCTAGTTTGGATATTCCTGTTGAATAGAATATAACCACATCATTTGTTCAGCTTTGTGAAAAGACCTGCTCATTATTCATGGGAAGTATGACAAGACAGTCCATTAACTGGAGCTAGACTTACCTTTTTTTGACATTTTCTGTGAGACCTGTAGCTGTGTCCACAGATTATTTATTTAATTATTTTGAAACTGCAATGTGACTTTTCTGGTAGGAGAAACCCATTGGGTGGATGATGACTGTGAAGAGATAAAGGCTCCTGAATGTCCAGCGGGGTAAGTGTTTTTCACAAATGGGGCAAGGCCAATGGTCCCCGGCTCCGCCCTGGACCTCTGAACACCCATGTCTGCGCTGGCCCTGTCACACAGGCTGAAGGGCTGTGGGTTGGATGCTTTCCTGTGCTTCCCCATTTGTACAATTAGATTGATAATATTGTAATGCATTGGCCTTTGAGCTGCTGGATGAATGCGTCTTTGATCACCTGCTGATGGGTTTGCCTGCTTCACTTACAGGGAAGGTAACCAAACTTCCTTGAAGTCAGTGGAAAGGTTTAGGTTTCTCTGATTTTGATAAAATTTAGGTGGAGCCATATGTGAACACAGTTCAGGCTTTTTTTTTTTTTTTTTAATTGAATTTTGTACTTTTAGTGTTATGTTCCTAAATGAAAGAATTCCTAAATTGCAATGGGATACAGGCTTGACTTAGTGAGGTATTTGAGCACATGAATAACATTGAGAAAGCAAGCGCTATTGAAACCAGTTGGTTCACTATTATCCTTAAAAGTGTCTGCTCAGGTGCTTGTGCTGGGTTGCAGCTCAGTCTGTGCTATCAGGAGGATAGTTTGGAGGAGATGGGAGCCTCTGCTTCTCCTGGTGACAGTGATGGCTGCTCACCCCCACTGCAGGTGACTAAAAGTCCAGGTGTGTCTGTCCAGGACACATCTCTGCCAAATTTTGATTAGAAAATAAAAATGTGATAAAATAACATGAAATACTGTCATCTTTAGTATGTGAGAATGCCTCACAAAACTCACTCAGAATACCACATGGCCTTTTGTTTGTGAAGAGAGAAGACCAGCTGTCATGAGATGTGGTTTTTAACTACAGATTGTATGATAGGGTGGGTACTCAGGCATACTATATTTTTTCCTTCTCCATCTCCTTCTATAAGTACTTGCCTTTTTGGGCTATATGCTTTTTAGCTGCTCAGCCCTTCCACTGACTGAGTGAACACTGCGTGTTACTGAGTGAAGATTATCAGTTTGTCCTGGTCTGTTAAGTATGCAAAAAAAAATTATAGACGTGTAGCATATGCAGTAACTGTACTTTATATTTTCTGGAGTCTCAGTGAGCAAGTGGAAATAAAATTATTTTGAAATGCTGCCTTACACTCCCACTGCTTTTGCTTTTAGCTTTGTTCGTCCCCCTTTGATCATCTTCTCTGTTGATGGCTTCCGTGCATCATATATGAAGAAAGGGAACAAGGTCATGCCCAATATTGAAAAACTGAGTGAGTACAAGTGTTTTCTTACAATAAACAAAAGACAATCTCTTGCAACCCAGTTGTTTTCATTGTTCATTGAGCAACAGAAGTCAGTGTGGAGCTGGTGGTAGAAGGGCTGTGCCAAACGCAGGGCTCCTCTGACTGAAAGGTCTAGCAAAGATTAAGTCTTTTTTTCCATGAGAGCAAAATGGCAGAAGTTCCCTTTGGTTTAGATGGTAACAACTGGTGGCTTGAAAGCACCCTGGCTGAAGCAGCAGACTGTAGTCAGAGTGGGGAGAGAGCTGCTGCTTTGAGGAATGCTGCTCAGAATCAGTGACCTTCATGTGGTTTTGTCAGCAAAGAAATGCATCTTCAGTACGTGGTATGTATCATGCACTATGTATCATGTATAAACTAGTTGAGAGAGGCCCTCAGAATTTTCCACTTGTTTCAGAAATGTTGAAGATACGGGTAAGTGAATGTGTGACAACTGGCTGGGGACGTGCCCCAGCGATGAGCAGTCCTGCACTCACTGCGGAGGGAGTGAGCATCCTTTGTGGAGTACTGGACACAACATGAGCTGCTGTCCATGTGTATGTGTGTGCCCATACCCTTGAAAGGTGGTGGGTTTTTTTCCTTGTGTGTATGCTGACCCTTGTATTTGTGTAGACATCTATGCTTTGACTTAATGATCTTAAATGTCTTTTCCAACCTAAGTGATTCTATGATCTGGGGGGCTGTGGCCAAAGCCCACTGTTAAACTGCAGCTTTAGTATATTTGCCACTTAAAATTAGCCTGCGTTTTCTCATGTTGTTTTACTTAGCAAGATACTTTCAGCGGCTCTGGAATCTGGAAGAAGACTAGCTTAGAAAGGAAAACAGTTTATGAAACAGCTACAGAACTGTAGCTGGTTCTGTACTCCTCTGACTGTGTTATTTTGGTTGTTTAGTGTGAAGTACAAAGAGTGTGTGAGTGAATTTACTACTGTTCCGTGGGAAGACCTGTTAATGTTAAGCAGCAGGATGTTCACTTGAATTGGTTAAAATTTAACCAGTTTCTGCAGCATTTTGAGACTAAGCAAATGACTTCTTCTGATTTTGTTTTCCATGTCTGAAAGTTTCTCTTCCTAATGTTTGCAATTACTATTGATTTTTCAGGATCTTGTGGAACACATTCTCCTTACATGAGACCTGTCTACCCTACAAAAACCTTCCCCAACTTGTACACCCTTGCTACTGTAAGTTCCTTTGAAGGAGTTTTTGATGGTAAAATGCTGGTAAAATCACTGCTGTTGAAATGTGGGTTGTGGGAAGCAAGGTTAGGTGTTTTTTTAAATAAAACTGATTCACTCTCTATCCTTTTCAGTCTTCAGTTATATTCAGTATTTTCTTCAGTATTTTGGAGTTATGAGATCGTGTATCTCACCATTATACACTGTGTTACAGCTTTCCTGCATTTTGTTATGCTTGCTTTTGCAGTTTTGTGCTGCTGTGTAATTACAGGACACAGTTTTCTAGGGGGAAAAACATACCACCCCTGAAATCCTACCCAGAATACAACCAGCAGTTCTTCCTTCATTGGAGTAGCTGAAGTCAGTGGGGCTGACTTAGCAGCTGACTTAAATTTACAGCTGCTGAGTGTTTCTGGATGCTGTGTTGGCCCTGCAGTAAAACGAACCATCACTTTGCACTCCAGTGGCATGGCTGGTGGCCAGGCTGTCCCCGCCTTGGCATGCAGATGCTCTCATGTGACAGTGTCCCCAAAGCTGGGCTAAGGGACTCCCTACCTGCAGCTGCATTTTTTGCCCTTCTTTTCCTGCAGCCTCTGCAGAAATGTTAAATGAGAAAAGAGGAGATGGAGAAATGAACAGCAGAAACTTCTTAAAGTGCCTTTACTGCTGGACAAATTGTGATATCAAGCCATGGCTTTGGGTGACTTGCCTCGCTTTTTTCTTGGAAGTAACTCTTATCTCACAGAGGCTCTGGTGAAGATAAAACATTATAAAATGGAAATGCTTGATGTTACACTTGCAACCAGAGAATGAATTATTGTTTCCAGAAAGGGAATTAATGATGAGGAACTGAAAGTTCAAATCAATCTTCTTTTTGTAAATTTTTGCTTACTTTAGATGGTCTCAAACTAACTTTTAACCAGTGTGAAAATACTTCAAAGTATCAAGTAACAGGAGTTCTTATGCTTTTTAGCACAATTCAATCATCTCCTACTGTTTTCACCACTACAGCCAGTTTTAAATGTGCTTATCTTAAAGTTAAAACCTTTTCTGGACTGCAGTTACAAAGATACCCATTTTAAAATAATTTAGTGGTATTTGCAGATAGCTATGAAGAACTGAATTTGTGTGCATTAGGATTTTACTAATTAATCTACTTCTGCACAAAGGGACTTTATCCTGAATCACATGGAATCGTTGGCAATTCGATGTATGACCCAGTGTTTGATGCCAGCTTCAGTCTTCGAGGGCGAGAGAAATTCAATCACAGATGGTGGGGAGGTCAACCAGTAAGTTTCAGATTCCCTCCTCCTCTTTCCCTCCTCCCTCTCCTCCCCTCCCCCTGTGCTGTGGAACATAGCCAATAATAATAATTAAAAAAATACATCTGTGAACAATTTGTACCTCAGCTCCCCCCCTGGCTGGCCCTGTGTCTATCAGTTTAGTGTAACATTTTGAGTTGGCTTTTGCTTTTCAGAATAATAAAGCCATTGATTATGGAAAGGTGCTTGTGTTGATAAGTATAAATTAGATGTGGCTAGGAAATAACCTCACTTTAGGCATCAGTTTAACACTATTTTCGTCACCGTGGCATAATGTTTCCTTTTCATTATGGATTTCTCAGGCTTTCGTCCTAGTAATGTTCTTGTGGCAGTTTTAGTATTAATGTTCTGTCAGCATAGCGTGGCACAACTTCATAATTATTATTTGTTAAGTCCACAAGTGCTTGCTGTTACCTGACTTGCTGCAGAGACTGTAGAAGTTTGTGAATTAATTTCTGCCTTCAGCACGGCAGCTGTGGCTGAACTAGGTCCTCTCTCTTAGATTCGTGTTGGACTCGGTGGTTTCTCTAGCTCTGTATCCTCATTCTGGGCAAGGAAATGGCATCCTTCGAAGTTTTCTGTGTTACTACAGCTAAGAAGGTCCCCTACTAGTGCATGCTGTGGTGGCTTGCTTTGCCAGCAAAAGTGGGTTTAAATTTAAACTAATACATTTTGTGTGCAAGCAGCCAAGGTGCATGCACATTTCATTGCACTAATCGGTTAGGGAAGTATAGATTAAAAGCTCCCTGACCCACAAAAGAGTGAGGTGATAGAGGTGGGGAAATTGGAATGGGTTTGGGAACTTCATAATCTGTCATTGCTGTTTGCTGAAGTGATCAGTATCATCCCACAAATCTCTTAATACAGAAGTTTCCCAAGAGACTAAAGAAAGTTACTCAGATGGTTTTAGGCTTAGTAACTGTGTGTGCTATTTGTCTGCATGTGGTTTTAGTCCGCAACAAATGCGAGACAAGACAGTTTAGAGCTGCAGGCAGATGAGTGACAGGCAGATGTGTCTGGCTGTAACTGAGCCAGAATGAGGTATTTGTGCTCTTGTAAAATTTGTCAGCATAACAGTGAGCGTGGTCACTGCCTTGCCCAGTTAAGACCTGGGTTAGCTTTCAGCATGGGTTGTGTAGAGAGCAGAGGGTGAGCAAACTGCCTAGCTATTATCCTCCTAGATGTGAGCAAGGAAGCAGGATCAAAACTAGGAGCAGTGAAAGGGCAGCAGCAGGTAACCTCTTCCTCCATCTAAAGCTACAGCCAGAGCCACACAGCTAACAAAGTGTGCCTGCTGCACTCGGGCATCGAGCTCACAGACACTGTTGTGGCTCAGCTGCTCTGTGATGACTTGTTAAGGAGCTGTAATTTAATTGTACATTGCAAATTTAATAGTGCATCTCAATCACAATTAGGTAGGAGTTTGTGGGGAACTACCTGTTGGGGACTATACAAATGTTTCTATTTTTAAACCATGATATTTTAAAAGTATGATATAAGCCTGTAAGTACTTCATCACCTGCTGTGTTGAGTGGGGAATATTGGTAATTCCTACGCTCATCCACTAGAAACACCTGTGCTGCTCCAGAGAATAAAAGTTTTTCTGTATTGTAAACAAGGGTCCTGAAAAATGTCAGCTGAGAAGAGTTCAAGAAAGTTACACAACAGTGGATGACCATACGCTGGATGAAATCCTCAGAGGATGGGGGGGGGAGTGTTGCATACACAAGTAAGGATGATAAAATAAACCAGCTGACCTGAAGAAGTGCTAAAAAGGAAAAACATACAAATAATGTAATAAGCTGGAAGTTTCTTTGGAAAACTGGAAACGTGTAGAGGACGGGCTATAATTCAGTCCCCACATACTTAATATGAGGGAAACCTCTAAGTTTGACAAACCTGATAGAGTGCCCATAATGGTTTGGGTACAGAGGTGGTAGATCTCTTGCAGAACTACGATATAAATGATGCTCTCCCTGCATGTGGAAGAATTGCAGAGAAAAGAATTGCAGATTTTTATAAGAAAAAGGTTATCTCCATCTATATGTGGATTAAATACAGTCTGTTTCTAACTCTTTTTTATAATTTTCTCTAAATATCACATTGATGTAGACTGCCAAAAATAGCTCAGTATTGAAAGACAAGACAATAAAATTAAGGAGGGATGAAGGGAAATCTGGTCGGCATATCACAGAAATATTGTCTGTCATATCACATATTCATCTGGTTATTTTTAGCTCTTGGGTCTCAAACTGGAGTACTCAAACAATGGCAGAGGGGTACTTGGCTTGCATGTAATTGGGAATTTTTATTTTCCTGCCTAGGAAGGCAGGAAAAGTGTCTGGGAGCCCCAGCCTCCTATTATAGCTAAAACTGCCTAAAAGAGAATGTTATTTAATGTTGATAATTTCTGAAATACTTTCTTGTTCCTGGAAACTGGCCTATTGTATATGGCTTTGTTAAAATGTGTGGCTTTTGGTGTTTGTGTTTGGGGTTTTTTTTGTAATTACTTGTTCTAATACTCAGCATCTTGCTGGGAAACATCCAGATTACCATGGACATCAGTGGGAACTGGCACATGAGTAGCTGAATATTTCTATACCAGGAATTACGAGAAATTAATTTTAAGAGCATTAGGAAAAGGAGAAGGGGGGAGAAGGTAGTTTGGAATTGCTTCGAGGATCTGTAGCTTGTTGTGGAACTTCCTGAAATCTGGTCTTCTGATTTAGTATACAACCTTGATTTATTATGAGCTTTAAAATCACCTTGTTTTCAAAACAAAAGCGTCTGACAGAAAACAGCCGCAGAACCTCTCCTTATTTTGCTGCAGCATCTCACAGAAACGGTGAGCATCAGGGCCCATGCTCCCAAGGGGGGAAACTAACTTTACTGTTCATTTTTCATGGCACTGAAACTCTGTTTCCGTCCCAAGTAACTTTAAACACTAAATTAGGCCTCGGCTGCCTTTGGCTTCTGATAAGCAGTAGTTTTCCATGTCTTTGATTTGATGTAGTGAGTTTAAGCCTATGCTACAGACAATAAATTGCTTTTTAAAATGAGATTTCATGTTCCTTAGAAATAATCTGTTGGTCTCCCCAAGGTCCGAAGATGACAGGTATAAAACTGCCAGCCTGTGGTTAATGGGGACAGAGAGGCTTCTTCAGTGGGTTACCCAGCTTGGGTCTGAGTTTGGCTCCAGAAATGCCTCTCTCTTCAGAAATATCTTAATTATGAAAGTATTGAAGGTTGTGTAGGGAACCTTCTATGAAGTTTTATTCCTCACTATTAACCTTTTAAAGAGAATACAACCCTCAAAAAGGGCCTAGCTTTAGATGCTGAGATAATCCTTAAAAAGGGCCATGACATTCCTAGATAAGTGACAACATGTATGAAGTTGTCTTTACAGTCTGCAAGGTATGCCTGTAGACCCTAGACGACATCACTACACTTCTTAACAGAATATTGCTGATTTTATCTAAATTTCACATTTTACATTAATCTTTGGCATAAAACCATTTTGCTTTTCTGTTTGCTGGTATTTTGTTGGTTTCGACTAACAATTACAGAAAGAACTTCTCATTTTCATTTTTTTGCCTCGTCAGCCTGAGCATTGACAGGATAGTTACATCAGAGGAGCCCAGACTCTGAGGAAAGCTATGATCTACCTTTTGTCCTGAACACATTTTGCAATCACTTTGGTTGGTGGGGGAAGCAGAAGGAGGCATGTTTATAATTGCCTTTTTATAAATATTTGTTTTTGTCTAGCTTGAGCCTTGAAAAAGCAACAGGGCTATCTGAGTCTGTCTAATTATTTAGTAGGATTCTTGTACCAAAATCTTCTGTCTGGGCAAGAAGACAATGCTTAGTTGTCAAGGCTGTGAGATCATTTGTGTCCTGTTAAAGAGTAAGGAGTGTGGAAGGGACTGCGCCACATTTTACCTTGTTGGCAGGATAAATTGCAAATGGTGCAGGAGTGTAACGTTTGGTGCACCCTGGTATTAATTCTGCATGCTTGCATCAGTCTTGTACATGTTTACCTGGGAAATGCTGTGATTTCCCCTTTCCCACTTTTGCCTGGATGTGGAAGGGATTTCCCATTTATGTATTACCAAGTCTCTGCTGCATGTGTATGCGTTTCTTCTGCTTCTGACACGAATCTCCTTCCTTCACTGGGAGCATGTTTGCGCCACTTGGCCCAAGGGCTGGACTTCAGACATCGGTCTTGACCTGAGATGTGTTGCTGCCAGTGTTTTCATAATACAACAAATAAGGTGCAGCCTTTGCAAAGTTATGGGCTCTTAATTATTTATGGAAGATTAAAAGTAGGGAAGTGCCCAACTTTCTGTGTGGGTTTTTAAAGACAAATCAACAACTATCTTGAATAACTCTGTATGTAGTATCTGTGTGTAAACATGTCTAGCAGTTAAAAAAAGGGAGAAGGTTGGGCTTCCATGTTCCATATGGCATTGCCACCTAAACTGTTGCTTAGCTTGTCTATTTTTATCCATAAATCAAATAAAAGAATTGTAGTCATTCAACACAGAAGATATAAAATGGATAGTAAATCGATTTACAGGATATGTTTCATATACATCTAGAAAAGCACATATCTTATTTCTTGGGACATGTGCAAGGGTACTAGGTTTGAAGCCATGGGACCATAATTTAACAGGTCTTTCTGCATTGAAAAAGTTAGATGTTCTTTAATTCCTGCAGCATGGTATGAAGACAGAATGGTTAATCTTTTTTATTTATTTTTTAAAAATATTTATTCCCCTCCTTTCTGCTTAAGCAAATTAATTCAGAAATACGGTCTTTACAGAGCTTACAATACAATAAAGCTTGTCCCATACGCAAACCAGGGCTGCGCATTTGGCATAGTTAAACAGCTGACTATAAAATTCTAATGTATTAACAGCTAAAGCCAATGTATTTACATATGGCAAATAAATTACATAAGCTCACAAATGGTACTGACCTTGCAACGCCTAACACAGTAAACTTTATGGTAAGTGACCTGAACAGATGTGACCAGCCATAGAGTGCATATAACATATTGCATTTACATGCTGAGTACTGGAACATCTAGGATTAATTAAGACTGTGACTCTAACCAACAGAAAGGAAATGGAACAGTAACCCGTATTCTCTTCTTAATTTCAATTGTATTGGATGGACAAGGTTGTGAGAGGGCATCAGACAACTTTTTTTCTATCCAACACTGACAATGTAGACTCATGTTAGTCTGAGAGGCATGACTTATAGTCTGCCTTGAAAGACAATTAATTTAATTCAAAGGCAGGGAGAGATGTTCACTGATGATTAGGTTGCATTAACAGTTTGACACGCTTTTCTGCTGGTGTTAGTTTCCTATAGCTCAGGGTAGTAAGGAAACTTATGTGCTCCTATCAGCTGCTCCAGTCTGTTGTCTAATTTTACCTAGCCAGTGAAGGGTCTGGCTGACCAAAGGCACTTCTGGTAGAGATTGCTACCACTAGATTCATCAGCAATAACTGTCACAACTCTAAAACACTATGAAAAAATTATTTAAAGCTTGTTCAATGCAGCTAGAAATTCTTTTACCTAATGGTTGCTGCTTCTCTTCAAATGTGTTATGAGTACCAGCTTTAGATACGATGTTGAATAGTGTTGGTTTACTTAAAACCAAAATAAGAAAATTCAAAGGTGCTTTTTTTTTTTCCCCTTGAAAAAAAAGAGTGGCAAGATCAATATGGAGTAATTCAGACTCACTTCTCAGATGTTGCAGTCAGATATGGGCCTTTTGATATGCTTGTCTTTGACTTCAACAGAACATTGTCTTAGCTGTTGAGCTTATTTCAAGCGTAGCAGACACATCCTCATCCAAACAGTTAATGCCAATGTAAATGGCTGCATTCCCAAGGTGGGATTCCTTACTTGGGAGCAGAGATGCTGCAGGTTTTCCCTGTCTGACGCCAGTCCAGGTGCCTTTGGAGGGCCCTTTCTGCTCACCGAGGAGTATGCAACTAGTAGTGATCTCCACCTCCGTTACTCCTGGTTCAGAAAGGCGTTCATGCTGTTTTCATGTGGCATTCATGAAGCACGTTCTATGCTCAACAGGAATAAAAAATAGCCACTGCCCTCTTGCAGGCATGCTGCGTACCTTGGCAATGTATGTAGGGCTTAATTATTAATCTGTCAAGATAACTACCATTTTACTTGCTTGGCCAGAAGGAGGGTGTCTTCTGGCACATGTTTAAAATTGTTGCTTAAAATAGACAGGGTCACGAGTGATTTCAGCAGTGCTAACAGTCAGGAGCAGCACAGGACAGCTTCAGCTGCAGAGGGTGGAACTTGGCTGGTCTGATTTGGCGAACCAGGCAGGCTGGACCACTTGGACCTGCACAGGCCAAAGCACTAGAAAGTCAAACTAGAGTTAACAGATGGTAAAATCCAAATATTGAATTCCCTGGACTTAAGTTTGTTGGTACTTTCCCAAAGATATCTGCAAAAAGATTTAAACTTTGCAGGAACACAAACACTTTCAAAGAAAAATAAATCTGCTGCAACTCTGTAGGGACAATGGTTTTCCAAGTATAGCAAGACCAAAGAGCATAACAGCAGTGCAGCTGACGGTCCTTGTGCTGAATTTGTATTTGACCTCTTTTTCTGCTATTACAGGTTCTACTCTAGGAATAAATCTGCAATGCAAAGAAAAATGCAGTTACTTTAAGTGTGGTCCCTTTTTCACCTGGGAAGCCCATGCACCACTAATGATTGTGGAGTAGCTCCAGCCTTAGTTAGACAGAGGGTCCAGGCTGAACATACCCTGTGCTGACAACAACACAAGCTTGTGGATGCATCCTTGTATTGCAGTCACACCTCTGACTGCAGCATATGGGCTCAGTGACATCATCAGTGTCTTGTAGGCACACTTCCTCATCTCTCCTGTTCGCTCGCATCCTTCTGTCCCATCCTCTCAGGGCTAGTATTCTGTGAGCATCTGAGAAAATCATCCCTGTTATTCAAGAATACAAAACCAAATTCCAGTATAAAATCAAAGCCATTTTTTTATTTGGGGGGGGAGCTACTTTGCAGCCACGTCATGATCACTGCCACTATGCAAACCCTGGTGCTGGTGGAAGGCTGGGACTGCAGAGGCTGGGGGAGATGCCTGGGGGACTCCCCACTTGGTGGCAGCTAGATTAATATGAACCAACTCTGAAATCAGACTCTTGAGGAGAAACACCTGGAAACAGAGAAGGGTAGGCTGCAAATCCATGGCCATTCTGCTCCTGCTCTTGCTGAATTTATTTAGCAAACCACCATTTCTATAGAGTTACAATGGAAAAGAGGATACATTATGAAAAAGTTAGAATACTATGAAAACAAATTATCTTTTCTAACAGTGATTTAAATTTAACTGGATTGAGTCCAGTAAGATTTGCAACAGCAGATGGGAGATAAGGGGTGTGTCCAGGCACTGGAAAGGCAAAGATGTCCAGTTTTCCCATAAATAACATAACCGTATCCAAATTTAATTCCTGTTAACTTATAGCCTCACTGTGTATATGATCTTTCATCAGTCTGTGCCAAATTTATTTCAACTAAGACCAATACATTAATAATTCAGGCATGACATTTGAAAAATGTATGCCTGAATAACAATGACAGTTTATAAGTGCCTGTGTGAGCAAGGTAGAGGAGCCTTGAATATATTTTCAAAAAGCTGATTTAAAGTAAACCAAAGATTTTGCAATTATTAAGTAAAGGAGCTATTTTTTGACTTAACTGCTTGTGAAATGGGTAAATAGTAATATGCATAAATAATAGGGAGAAATACTCTACTTGTATGCACAATTCTGTTTTTTAAACCATTACACTTTTGAAATGAGTTTTGAGTTAATTTGGATAGTTCCTTGAATAGAAATTTAGTTCTGTAGGGCTAAAAACTCATATTGTTTGCTTTCCTTGATTGTGGACCTTTCTGACATTTGGTCATTCTCCTTCCCCTGCCTTGTATAGATATTCACAGAACAGAAGAGAGAAAGAGGGTGAAGGGGGGTGTGTGTAATGAGGATAACGAAGGGTATGGTATAGCTTTCACTAGAAAAAGACCAAACAGACCAAAGCTACTCTTGCTTCAGAAGGAATAAATAGAGGGGAATATCATGAATGCTGTATAGAAGTGGGAAGAGAAAGGATTAATAACCTGTTTTCAAATGACAAGAACACTACCCCAAGACCAGTGACACCGGTAGGTTTAAAGCAAACAAAAGTAAAAATATACTCGTGCAGTGGGTGACTACATTGTGGAACTTTCTGCTACAAACTGATTTATAGTCAGAAAAATATATGGGATGTGAAGGATTGAAAAACTAATGAAGATTGTTTCCATCATTTCCATCAATCACTACTTCGGGTGAGCTCAAAGTTCCTAAACATCTATGGAGGAAGGTGTCCCTCCCTGCTTTCTTTATACCCCGGCTCACTCACCTGTGCCCTTTTTTGTGTACTCTTTCCTTAACACATTTTCTGTCGATGACTACTGATAGTAGAATAAGGGGAAGGAGGGACATTCATGCAGACACTGATTAGTGTTAAGCTGTGTTCTTTCCTAACTGAGTATCTTCCAAAACTTGAACACTAAAAGGCTCAGGTGAGTAATGGCTGGTTTTTGAAAATCAAATGGAATACTGGAGAAATCCGTGGCCTCAAATCGTAATGCTTTGCATTAAAAGCAACACAAATTTAGGGGTAAAAGTCTACAGCACAGTGGCTGATGCACTGCTACAGAATTTGCATAGGTTTGTCCCTCCATGTGTTCGAATTAGGGACGCGGACTGAAAACTGCAATTTTCACTTCTAGGCTCGGGGTAGAAGAATGTGTCTTGAAAACATTTTCTTTTGATTTCAGAGGGTCATTAAAGATCTGAACACATTCTAATCCTCTTATATTTTCCTCATTAGATTTGGATTACTGCAGCCAAGCAAGGGGTGAAAGCTGGCACGTTCTTCTGGTCTGTGTAAGTGCCTTCTGTTTTCTGCAGATTTGTAACTAATTCAGAATTAATTGGATACAAGTGTTTATTAAGTTGTTTTCCTTACTTTAAGCATTCAGTAACTTGGAGACCATACCTGTAACCCTCCTTTGTTTCATTTGTGCAATGTTTCTGATAATTAAAGCTGATGCTACAGTTTGCTGCTTTAAGTTCATACACTGATTTTTAGCAGTTGTCTGAAGAAAAGATCCATAACTATGTAAAATTTACTTTCTTTCATTTCACAGTGTGTTAGTTTGCCTCCTTAGTATTGCTAGCAATGTTTCCTAGTCCTCTTGAGTGTTAGTGGAAGACTCTTTTATTGTCCTCTTATGTCATCTGACATCAACAGCCTAACTGACTCAAAAGCCTGACTCATTCATTTTAAAATCCAGTCTGACCTTTGAGTAAGATATCCAATTTCCCTTTCCTAAAAGACAGCCTTGAGGATCTTTGCTGTTTATTCCTTTTTTTTTTTTTTTTTTTTTATGGTTCCAGATTATTTTCCCTTGTCCCAGCTAAAATGTATTATCCTAACTGAAAATGAATGAATTTTGTTAATTTCTGAGTTCTGAGGAATTTGTGTGGATCAGTCTCCCCTTTTTAGTAGCAGGATTGCAGGAGTAAAGAAAATGGGCAAACTGACAAGAGTGAAGTACTAAAGGGGTTTGCTTATTTTGTCATGATTCTATTAGAGTAGCAAAGAATATTATTCCTAAATACTATATAGCATATGGAGGGAATAATAAAATGTACCATGTACAAAGCTGATGATGGGTTTAGGCTTGCAAGATGGTTATCTGACAGAGCTCCAGTCTGGTACTCTACAAAACAAAGAAATTAATGTGATTCTTAAGCTCTACAGCTACACAGTCACCATAAACACCGTGGCCAATGCATGCTCAAGGATATAAAATGTTTTGGAGGGTAACCAAGGATATTTTGTATGAATGGCAATAGTAAGGGAGTGAGACAGCCATTTCATGTATGAATGAAATATATATGCCTTAAAAATGTATTATTTAATTTGGGACACAATGTTTTTGGGGAGAATTTTCAGGCAAACTCTTTTAGGAAAACAGAAGTGTTAAAAAGATCTTAGTTACAAATTACTTATTGTGAAAAAAACACATTATTTCAATTACAGAATAAAAATTTCAAAACTGGGTCATACACAAGATTATTATTCTGCTCTATGATATTGCCTTGTTTGCAAATTTGAGCATAAATTCTCATTCTCATAGTTTTACAACCAGAAGTTCTCTGTGTAGTTGGAGACTGAGGACTGCTGTTGTTCTTGAAGGCATTAAAGACTAACTTATTGCAAAATGGCTGTTGGCATCTCTCTATCAGACATTTCCAAAGAGTGATGAATTCAATTCAGTATGGTGAATCCAAGACAGTTGTATTTGATTCCTGCCTTGGGATTCTGCTATTGATCTAATGGAGTTTGGACTGACTGTGCTATTGTATTAAAATAACTTTGTGGTCACTGACCTGCAGAGCTTTCCTAAGATGAGATATTTGGAACTTTTAACAGCTGTTTATAAGGTTAGTCATTCTCATAGCATGAACTTGGCCTCAGCAGCCAAGTGAGAAGTCTCAGGATATAAACAGTGAAATAGGATGAGTCTGTTCTGCAGAGTGAGAAGCTGTCAAAGTTGTGCAAATCACTGTGCTGATGGCCTGGAGTTTCGTATGGCTCTGTTTTGATTTACACCAGCCTAGCTCTCAGTTTGGTTGCTACTAAGTCAATGGGAATTTTTCCAGTGTCTTCAAGACTACCAGAGCAGGGTGTTGTTTAAACCTGTCCTGATGTGAGCATTTTAATGGTTTTTACTCATGCCAGCTATCCAATGGCAGCACCACTGTGCATAATAAAGGTTCATCTGGGTTTAAGCTACCACAATGGATCTTTATTCACTCCGTTTAGAGCAGTTAGATTTACTGCCCTGAGTTCTGACTTCACTTACAAACTTTTAATCATCTTTCTCTTGGGATATGTGGATGTACAGGAGATGTGAAGTGATTCTGTTTGCAAAATAAGTATCAGTATCAAGCAAGCTAGAAAGATATGGCATATACATAAAATCAATTTAAGTTGTTATGATTGATTTTAATCATGTTAGGATCAGTTCATTGCAAGGCTGTGTTGATACTTTTTGTATTCTATGATAATAAGGTATTTTTTTGTATTCTGTGGTCCAGTGTCATCCCCCATGAGCGCAGAATATTAACAATACTGCAGTGGCTAACCCTTCCAGACAATGAAAGGTAATTCACTTATTGTCATCTGCTGTTGGATAACTGCTAGCTTGTCTTCTCCTTAAAAGTATCTGGAAGAGCAAGGGGAAATTTATTTCTAAAAATAGTTTTGTCTGTTGCTCATTATCACTGATTTAAGGATTTATTTGGGATTTGTGTTTAGGTAGGGTTTTTTTATCTCTGCTTTTAACCATCATAATTTTGATTCTTCTCAATAAATGTATGGTATGGATTTATTTCTTATCAAGAAGCATTTAGTTACATGGATTAACTTGGATTGTTCTTATCCTACTGAGTTTAATATGGTTTAACAACCTTTCAGTCAATGGCAGTTGCAGAACTGAACCCTGAGGACTGGGAAATTGTTAAGTTTTTAATTATTAATATTTTTTTTTAGTACACAAGTCCCCACATGCTGCTGGCTGCAAAGCTGAGGCAAGCTGCTGTTGTGATGTCTTCTACAAGACTTAGAAAGAGCGCGTGTCCTCAGATGGTACCCCATGTGCCTCCCCGCATGTGTTCTTGGATTTAATAAAACTGTAGAACAACTAATTGCTTAATCAAACCATGGAAACATATGACTGAGAAACAGTTCTTTTTCCATAAAGCCAACTCTCATTGGAAGGTTGACTTGATTTGACCTGACCTAACCGATTCGGGGTTTTTTGTTGTTGTCGAAGGAAAGCTATCCAGAACAAGACCTTTCTTTCTTTCAGGCCTTATGTTTATGCTTTCTACTCTGAGCAACCAGATGCTGCTGGCCACAGATATGGTCCTTTCAACTCAGAGGTTAGTACAGATTTTCTTCTGCAGTAAAAGCCTGTCTCAAGTATATTTTTGGAATATTTGCCACTGTGCAGGAGTAACAATTTGGCTACTTTTTTTTTACCTGTTTCTGCAGTGCTTCCCCTCTGCCAGAGAAAGCAAAGTTATTGTCTAAAGGGTTTATCATGTGAGATACACTTCTGAGAGAATGCCCATGCCTTTCAGAAGGCTATTTCTCTGTGTGATATGATAACACAAATGGAAAGATTTATTTGGCAAAGACAGGAGTATATTTGGGTGTAACAGTATCATTTAACTTCCCTCTAGCAATTTATCCTTCTTAAAAGTAATAAAAATATAATGCAGAAAATATTGAGCAAAAATGCAGAGAAGAAAAAGCTTTTTTTTAAAGCTGACAGCTTCCAGTAGCCAAAGTAATAATTTCAGTCTGTCGTGAACTGTAAAAAGCTGCTATTTCCAGTTTCATATAGGTCTTACAGGGGTCCAGAAAGCTTTGCCAGTACTGTTCCCTCAGGGCTGGACTGTCGAGTTTGGAAAAAGTTTTGAAGCACCGTAAGGTATTTTAATGAAAATTTATGTGCAAAACACTACAGTAGTTTAACCCCTTGCTTGAGCTTTGGGTAGCTGGCTGGGACTGATGAATACTGCTTCCCTGCCAACACTGTCCAGGGTGACAAGACCTCAAAGACTATGCACTTTTCTGCAATTTGTGGGGAGGGTAAGTTCGTTCTGCACCTGAATATCCTGCTACTTGGAGTGGCTGGGATTTGGTATCTCCAGTGATCTCTCACATCTGGCAAAGGTCCCCTAGTTTCAGTGCAAATGTACGCCTGCAGATTGCCCTCACAAGACTTTAAGTTTTTAAACATGCTTCTTAAAGGGTAAACAAATGTTTGCAAATCTTCAAAAACTAAGAGTGTATCACATACTTACCCTTTGGAAGGTAATACAGTTCTCCCTAAGCAGCCAGGTACCAAGCAGTAGTTTCTTACTTGTCTGGTATACATCTGATAGCTGTCCTCTACTGAAGAGAGCAAAGAGAACCAGCATTAATCTTTTTTAAGTTTTGAGTTTTTTGGACTGTTTAAATAAGTTTTCAGTGGTTGTGAACTGGCTGTGGGTAGCATCCTTGTTTGGAGCAGTTTGAGCCATGGTCCCAAAGTGGCAGGTATGAGGATTTATTTCGAACCAGCACTGACACGTGATACTGAATAGGAAGAAGTAGCCCTTTTTCTGGATAAGTGGTGGTTTAAATCTGTCAACGCTCTTGCTAAATTAACAGGCATTGATATGTCTCCATTTTGTCGGAACAGGAGAGGTGTCTGACTTGGTCAAGAAAGTTATCTGTAACGAGAGCTCTCTGATTGGAGAATGTACTGAATGATGCTTTATAGCTCCTCTTACTGAAGTGTTATAAATATGTGTGACTTATGACTGACAAAACTAATTTTATTTATCTGTAGACAACCACTTCTCAACAGAGTTGTGGGACTCTTTCCATGGACTTAAAGGACAATATGAAGATGATGACATTGAACTTGTTCTTTAAGTTGTAGTCTTGAACAAACCAGTTTAGCATCCAATGTGGTAATCTAGTTTCAGGTTAATTTTAAGTGTCAAAGTGAAGTGTAATTGTGTCATCATAGGAAAAGTCATTACAAAAGCGAAAAGCCCCCAAAGGGTCTTATTGTTTAGGGGTTCTTCTGAATGGTTCTGAAGGTTGACCTCTAATTGCAAGGCAAATCTCTGGCTCTTAATAAGTGTGAATTAATAGCTTATGTAAGTTTTACAAATAAATTGATTTATGTCATTTGTGTTAAACCCAAGAACAGCATGAAATTGATTTTTAGTAAATTGAGAACAGACGAGATAGCAAATGAGCATGTATGGGTTTGTAGTTCAAACAGTGGACATAACTCTGTGAATGGAAATGAATGGGAATGAATACAAATGCTGAGATTTGCTAGGGGCCTGGTTTCAGGATAGAAAAACTAGGAAATATATTGTTTCTCTTGATACTGTTTTTAATACAATTTTTAGGAGCTATGAAATTGGCATAAATCAGCTGGGAAGGAAGTCCTCAAAGGGATCCCTTCCAGCTGCTTCCTTGATGCAGAGAGCACAACCTCCCCGTGAAATCATTCTTTTCTTCTATGCAGCTGGCACCAGTTAGACAGTTGGAGTAGTACTGACTTCATGCAAAGGCAGATCAGCCAAACAATAATGTTTGAAAACAAGCTCTTAACAATTCTGTGTTATATTTAAGATGGGCTTCTTATTTCTTCTTTTGATGAGTGAAGACTTTATGCTGCATTTGTAGCTTGAGGAATAGTTTTATACCTTGAAAACCTCAAAATCTTACAAATGTCCATTGGAGTAAAGTGAATGTTTACTACAGGCTATTATGTCAAATAATGTTCTAAATGTATTTTAAATGTATAATCTTAAAGGTCTAATGGCATCCATTACTGATAATATTCAGCTTCCAGACTTCAGCAGATGGTACTTAGAGCTTCGCAGGACATGCACAATAGCCTATGTGCAGAGTGTCGCTAGAAATAAAGGGACATTGTAGCACTTAAAATTTATTGATGATTTGCCAGTGTTGATATAAATGGAATACAGATTACGGCCAGTGTCCACTAGTGTAACTTTGCATATCTTTTAACATTATGAATTTCTGTTTAAATATGTTGGTTTTCTAGGTTTTGGTTTTTATTTTTTTGGGGGGTTTGGGGTTTTTTTCGGGGTGTGGGACGGGACACATGAATAAACTTCTTAAGGAGTATTTCAGTGGGTTTCATTGCATCTCCAGGAGGAGTTATGGGAGTTATCAAATATGTGCTTGCTCTTGATTTACTTCTGCTTTTTTTTTTTGTTTGTTTGTTTCCCTCTGTGCTTTTGCAGTTGAACTCTGGTAGGTTGGTCCGTCCGGGTCAAGAAGCAGAGCTTTGGCTGGCTAGTTACCCTTATGATGTTACAGTTCCCTTCTGTAAGTGGGGAGGGATTCATTTCCCTCCTCCATAACTCTATTCTGACTCTTCTCAAGCAAGACTAAGATTTGGCTGGTTAATAAGAACTTGGCTTTTTTTTTTTTTTCCCTAGCTAACTTTTATAAAATATAAAATATTCTAGAAATATACTACATAAGAGCTCTAAAACACATTGAAATGTGGCGCTGCTAAGCCATTCCTGCTGCTCCTCTAACCTGCTGTCTGGAGACGGCCGTTTTCAGTGTTCAGACCTGGGTCTCCTGCGTGCGCGTGTTTCTGGCATTGTGGAGCTCTGTCTGAGCCGATTCAGAGACGGTAAAACAAGAATCCTTCCTTTCCCTGCCGCTCCTCTCATCAGGACTGCACAAAGCTTGAAGCATTTTAAAAACAGAAAACTGGTGCTGCTTTATTAAAATGCCTTTCTGGAGAGAGACGAATGAGACTGGACTTAGAATCTCCTTTCCAGCTGCTTGCCTTGGAAGCAATGAAACAGCATGGCAGATGGTAACATCCTCTTCCTTCCCTTCCCTGTTTACATAGCTCTGTAACTGAACAACTGTGAGAAGCTGCCTAAGTACACAGAAGTTAAGTATCATCATAAATCTCCAACTCTTCTCAAGCCCACTCGGCGTTCTCTGTTATATGCGGCATATTGTAGTTACTATCTCCCAGTAGGCATCATCCATCAGCACTTCACACGCAAGCCCAAGCAGTGCCAAGAGCCTGTAACTTGTGTAAAGTCAGTGAAAGCTGTACAGTTTAAAATTATGAACAAGCTGATTAATGGGATAGTAGTTTTTTCCACTTATGTCTTAACTTTTTTTTTTCCCTTTTATAAGTCTTATCTCAGGTATTTGTGCATTTATGCACAATAACATTAGCCAATAAGATGCCACGCTGAAAGTGCTAGGAAATTAAATTCTCAAATTGCCCATAAAGCTGGTAGTAAGGCAGGTAGCAGTGCAGCTTTCTGAGGCTCTGCCACCAATATGCTGTGCCTAGCTGACGTGAAGGATACGATCTGTGGTAACTGAGTCTCACCCTTGTAGTTTTGTCCTGCAGACCTGCAGTCCCCAGATAGTGGCTTGTGGAGTTCTGGTGATTTCAATGGGGTGTATGTGGCACCTGCTAATGCTTCTGATGAGAGTACCTGGTATCACTGATTCAGCCAAAAAGTTGGTGTGGGAAACCTTGCAGAAAGCCGTTTGGACTGGAGAGGCTCTAGTACTCATACAGCACTCTACCCCAGACACTCATTAAATTGTATGCAATGAATTTACTTGAACTGAAATTGTTTACTTAAATTTTGATATTAATGACTTAATATCTGATCAATAAAGCCCTCCATGTAACTATACATTTTCAAAACCAGAAGCCACACCTATCTTCTGAAACACCAATTTAATTTGCTTTTATGCTGTCTGCTCTCGTAACTGCTGTTCTGCTTTCAGTACAATTTGGTGGATTCCTCCTTAAAAAGAGACAGATCCTAAATTGTCCAAAAGCCTAAATTTTTGAAATGGCCATAGCATTTATGCCTCAGGGTTATCTGGTACAGGTAGCGTTACTATCTGATGTGAGTTGAGACAGGCTTTTTTTCTGAGTCCAGACATCTCTCCCTGCCAGTACAGGAGAGTAGTTATGGCTCCCCTCTTACTCCGCCTAAGAGACCTAAGAGAAAGCTTCCTCCTAAGAGGAGACAGGAAAGACCAGTTGCAGCTCCAAAGAAAAGAAGAAGAAAAGTACATAGAGTGGATCAATATGCTGCGGAAGCTCGTCGGAAGAAAGTAAGTTTACATATGTTCCAAAATTTTATGATGGAAGTGCCATTTTTTAGGCACTACTCTAGCTTTATTTTTTTCAATTTGGGAGTTCACTCCATGCTTCAGGTTGGGATTTTGCAGACAAAACTTCTCTAAATGTACCGAAGGACCCAAAGGAAAGCAGCCAAACAAGACCAAATCTTCTGGGACATACGTTTTTCTTGTTTCAAACTCTGTTTGCATTAGGGAAAGCCATCTTTATAATCTCTATATTTTTAAATCCAGGCATCAGCTGGAGGCAATGTCAGATAAATCCATGGGAAGACATTACCGGTGTTGCTCACCCTTCTGAGCTATTACAAATTCTGCAATATGTTGTAGCTTCCTTAACTCCCTAGCTCATGGGAGCCTGATGATTATTTGACTGTGTCTAGTCATTGTGGTTGTGGAAAAGTCCTGAAAATGTGACTCATAAAATCTAAAAGGGAAAGAACATTAAAAAGTTGTTGTTTTTAAAATACATATTTTAAAGCCAGTTTGAGACTTTGGAGGTTAGGGGATTCTTGATTACATGATTTCTAAATGCTGTATTTGCAGTAGAAGTGGTGCGTAAGTCTGTTTTCACAAGAAAAAGGTCAAATAGAAATTGCTTTATTAGAAAAAGGTGCAAGTTGAGAAAAAGCGTATTCCTTAGTGTACTGTCTTTTTCCACCTGGCACTAACACACACTGGGAGGGGTCATAGACCACTTCAGTATTATTTGAGTTTCAGAAATTTAACTGGATAATTCAAAAACTCTTCAAATAAACAACTTAAATATTTCTCCTTTAGGCTTTAAACAAAAGCCTTGACACTCCACTGTATACTCCATGAGGCTATAAACACTCTTCTAAGTAGCTTTTTTGTTGGAGATGTTTTCTGACTTGTTGCATGATTCAACTTAATTGAGACTGATTCTTTAAGTAAGGCATGGCATACAGGCACATGCAAAAAATTAACACGTATAAGAAAAAAGGAATTTTCCAGAGAACTTTTAATATAGATTTACCTGAGAACTGATTACTGCTATGGATGATATTGCTATTACTCATTAATTTACCATTCCAAGTTATACCCTTCTGGCATAAAGTATAGTAGGTAGCTTCTAAAATTCCTACTGATGTGTGCGTATGGGACTCTTATTTTTTTCCTTTCTTTCTCTGGATGAAAAGGTCATCCAAATTTATCCCTAAAGAACTCTTCCTGATAAGTCCACTGTGAAAATTTATCACTATTATTTCAGAAAATAACCATCATAAGATTACACAATAATTGACATCATGTCTGCAACTTAATCTTTTGGTGCTGTTTGAGAACAATGGAATATAGTACAGGCTGGATCCTACAAATTTAAAAGTAAAATTAAAAAAAGGGATAAAGTGAAATTCTTCCTTCTAATCAAGCTTATTCTAAAGAGAAAACTCAGGAGAGAATCCGACTGTGACCTGTATGTCTCCGATCCCATACCCAAAGCTCTCACCGTAGTACCAACTTTTATTGTAGCACCATCTTAGAGATTCATATATCTTGAAAGATAAAATTATTCTGTACAGCCTTTCAGCCCTGATATCAACATATTAGGTGAAGAAAGGTATATGCAAGAGTTTTATTTGTTTGCCAATAACACTTTGGAAGTTGGATTTGGGAAAGAACATGAGCTGTAAGAGCAGCATGTCCACACAAAATCCTTGCCTGAATATGCCACCTACAGCCAGCATTAGTCTGCAAAGAGCATTTGCAGAAGAACTTGAGTGTTGTATAGAATAATAAAAGATAGCTGAATTTAAAAATTAAAGAGAGACGGAATGCAATGAGAAGAAGAAATATTGGTGAGGGCCTTTTTAAGAGCTACTTTGAACACATTAAAGTAGTGAAAACTTCAAAGTTGGTGATTTTGCTGTGGTTTACTGTGTGAGTTTTTTGTGTCTTTTAAAAAGATTATTTTTTCATTTAGACTGACTTTCTTGCACTTTCAGAAATATCTCTGCAGGTCTACAGAGTACACTGATGAAGGTAGCTAAACAAAATTACCATCACTTGAAATCTCTGGAAGTACTGTTGCTCTTTTTTTTATTAGTACTTTTAAAAGAAGCCTCAAGCCTGCTGACAAAAGTAAACATTAATGGGAGATCCATCTAGATTTCCAGCTTCCTTGAATAAGCTTCGGATTCTGAGGAAAAGTTGTGTTTCCTTATATGATTGATGTTATACAAATAGTGACATAAAAATGGAATTCCCATTCATTGAATAAATTCTTTATATTTGAGAGTGGAAGAATACTGAAAGAGACAATTTTCTTTTTTCTAAACTTGAAATATTTCTGAGTTCTAACTAAACTGACTACTTAGGTTTTCCTGAATTAAAATATTTCAAAATTTCACCCTTTGCCTGAACTGCTTCCATATGTTGAAGAAACTATTCCTCCTGTTCCCCTCTGTGATTCAATCTCTCATGAGCTACTTCTTGTATTTATAGTGCCACATGAGAGATGACATTTCCTGTCTCATAACCTATCAGACTTGTTTAACATCCATCCCTTAATGACTCGGGCAGAGGGAGAATTTCTGAACCATATCTTTCTCGGTCATGCTAATGTGGTGTTTATTTTTTTCTTAGAAAATTCTGCCAAAATCTAGTTTTTTTCTCATCCAGAATTTGTTAGCATTCTGTTTGTCACTGGGAGAATGTTTTGTTGCGGATACTTGGACCAGCCAAATCAAACAGACAGGCAAGGAGAAAATTGGCATGGAGTGACAAGAAATGTTTTCTTCTCAAAACCAAAACAAAATCTGAGTCATCTGCCTAAAATCTTACTTTAAAACATATCTCTTCTCTGTGCCATCTAGTAAAAAATGTTTCATTTTCTTGTAGCTGAAAACACAATCCTGTGAACATGTCTTGGTGTTTTCTGTTTTGTTTCTTAATGAACAGGAAACTTAAATGAAGAAATCACAGTACAATATTCATGTCTTCTGGGGCCTGCTGACAATTTTGCCAAAACTGTCACTTGAGATGTTGGAAACTCTTGGCTTTGAAGCTGAAGAACGCCTTCTCCGACTCCATGTGCTACTCAAGTGACTTGCATATTGTCGTCCTAGTATCAGATGTCCTTTGAAGTGAATTTCATTAAGCAACTTGGCATATGAAACCCAAGTCCAAAGTTTCATTTCACGTTTTGCCTGAACTGTTCACATAAAATAGCCTTTTAAAAGTACTGCTATTTATCTGTAAGAAATAACTGAATCCCAAAGTCACATGCATTTTTCTAATATCTATACTTTGTTTTATTAAATGTACATGTGTCCATGGGAGGCCTAGGATCAGCCATAAAGATCTTTTGCTGTCTTGTGTCAGCATCTCAGCAGGGCTTTGTCATGATGAAATCAGTGTGGTTATAGAAAAAGAAATGGTATGATAATTGTAGGTGTAACAGCTCAGCCAAGGCTTTGCCTCTTGACCTGGATGGTTATCCTATCAGAGTGTTGCCAAAGGGCCTCCATTTGTAGAAGAATAGGGAACATTGCAATGACAGAATTAATTTTTTTCCTTTCTGCATATTTATACAGATGATGGTGAATCCCCTGAGAGAGATTGACAAAACAGTAGGACAACTAATGGATGGACTGAAACAGTTGAAACTACATCGATGTGTCAATGTCATATTTGTTGGTGATCATGGTAAAATAAACAGTTTGGTTTTGTTTTTTTAAATCCACATATATAAATGCTTCAGCAATGTAGCTGTGCTTATAGTAGCTGGCTTAAATGAATGGTTCCATTTCAGATACTTTTGTGCTGGTTTTTTTCTAGTAGTTCAAATCTCAAAACCAGTCAATGTGGACAGACCACTAAGCTTGTCTATTAATTGTTACTGGAAAACAGTTCTTCATAACAGTGATTTGGGTGTTTACAGCTCCACTTAGAGTTTTTCAACCACATCTAAGTGCAGCTCTCCTTGCATGTGTTGGAAGGGTATTGTGTGCCTAGTGTTATCTTTTTGGCAGGTTTTATGGAAGGATTTATTTGGGTTGACATAGCACTTAGGGATATGGTGTAGTTGAGAACAGTCAGTGTTGGGTTAATGGTTGGACTAGATGATCTTCAAGGTCTTTTCCAACCTAGATGATTCTGTGAAATAATTTAGTAGTACTGCCTTATTTTTCATGAGGAGAGGAGTAGGACTTTAGAGGGAGACATTTCCATGACAATTACTGGGTCAAATTATCCTACCAGGAGAAAGACTGGAATATCTGTAATAGACTGTGTCCAGCTTGGATGGAAAATGTCATCAAAATAGTGGAGGAAGAAGAAAAATGATAAATAGATATTTCAGGGTCAAATGGAGAGTCATGCAAAAGCAGAGATATTATTTGATAAATCTCATTCTTTCAGACATCAGAAGTAACTTAAAATTGAAGAAATAGTAAATACTAACAAAGACAAAAGAAAAAGAAAGTCTTATTAAAGAAAAATATGACCATGTCTGAGATAAATCTGGTTTTGCATAACTTTTTAGCAATGCTACCAAAGGTTCTGTTTTGTTTAGATCTTTGGTTATGAAAGTCTCACAGGAACTGCTACATTAGCAATAAAATGGAATATGCCTCCTTTCTGGCTATGGGGAGAGAAGGGTAAGGGACAGGAATGATTTCCAGGGGACGCATGTTTTGTGCTGAGAACTGCCTGTGACTGGCAATACATTCCTTCCAGCCACAAACGGCTGTAGGAGAGAATTGTTTATCTGCACTGCCTTAGAACGGACCACCAACAGACAATACCTTTTGTGTGCAATTTCTCTTAAAATCCTTTGTTTAAGAAAAAATAATCCCCAAAGTAGTACACTAAACTAGAAACAGACTTTGATTTTTTTTTTTTTTTTTTCCCGTGAGCTTCATTTGGAGATGTGTCAGTGCACGCATCGTATATGTGGTGACTGTTTCTACGACATTGAAATTGGTATTTCTCTTGTGTAGGCAAGTGCTACAATCACCCCTAGTTCGACTCCTATGAGTGTCTGATGTTGGAATGACATGACTGGAAAGAACAAGAATAAGAGTTATCCAAAAGAAAAGAATACATAGGCTGTTTGGGGTCTCTTTTTGTGTTGTTTTGGAAAACATGTTTATTATTAAGCTGAATTAATTTTGCATTTTCCTTCTGCAGGGATGGAAGACACTACTTGTGAAAGAACTGAATTTTTAAGCAACTATCTGACTAACGTGGAAGATATAATTTTGCTGCCTGGATCTTTAGGGCGAATTCGCCCTAGGTCTAGCAATAACCTAAAATGTAAGTTAAGTTGTATCCGCTTTAAGTTGTACCTGTCCTGAGAACTAGAGTCCATCCCTTACTTAGGCTGACGTTGCCCAAAGGATCTGAGTTTGCAGTGTGTCAGCAGGACTGTTCACAGGGAAGCCCATGAAGACCAGCTCCTTGCTTTCTTCCTGGTCTGTAGAGTCACAGACCCCACAGCAGTAATGCTGTGTCAAGTGGATGGCTGAAATGTTTTGGGTTAAAACCCACCCTTTTATAGCAAGGAGGAGTGGGAACTCAAAGCAAGCTTCACATGCCAGCTTACACATCGTTGTGAGTTTTATACATGCAGTTCTCCCCTCTGTCAACAAACTGGGACTTGGGGGATCTCAGCACTGTACAGACTGGATATTAAGTGGTACATTTTCTGAGCTAACAGAAAAAAGTGAATTGTTAATTTCGAATTCAGTATCTTCATACTTTTGGTACAGATGAGAAGCAGTGTGGGTTGCTAAACAGCAACAGGCTGGGGATGTTGAAGGGTATAAGGAGATCTAGAGAATGCATTCAGGGGCAGTGCTGACAGTAGAACTTGCTGGTTTTTGGTACCATGCTGTTAGAAATTCACCCTGACTTTGTGTTTGAGATTAGCTGATCTTTGATGAGAGCGCTCAGGGCTCACCCAGGAGCTCTGTGAAGCCAGTCCTGTGGTTTAAAGCGTTACAGACCCAGCTGCCCCACCACTGCTCTGCTGAGGCTACGCCTCCAGGGCCAGGACGGGGCTTGTGCCAGCAGCATGACTGCTCTGGTTCAGGGAAAAACTGGCTTTGCCAGCAGTTTAAGATACCATGCAAACTGTGAAACTCATAAACTAACTATAACTACTTATGTTTTTTCAATGTGTGACAAGGGTGACAACTTTTGATAGAGGGGGAGATCAGATAGCTGGTACAGCCGACTGACCCCTCATGACGCTTCAGATATACTTTGGTTGAGGAAGATTTCACAAAAAAATTGATCTTTGAAGATTAAATATTTTCAGAATAGTAGCAGAAATCATAAGAATGTGATAAAATGTTTTTAGATAATGATTCATGTATGCATTTATTTTAACTAATTTACCTGGGTATTTAGGCTCTACAAATATGGGATGAGTGCGTAAAGATTTCCTGAAAATAGTGCATACGATGACACAACTTACTAGTCTAGCATAAATACTGAATTCCTACACTTTACAGTGTACTGAAAACTTACATTTCAGTTCTGAGAAGAGTTTGGTTTGTTGGTTTGGGTTGTTTTTTTTTTTTAAAGATATTTCAACCATTGAATTCTAAAATTGCTGAAAAAAACTAGTTTTCTTCGGAGGATGAATGGCAGTATCTTCCAAAAAGATCAGCTTCTCTGACTGACCTCTGAGTCATACTACTTGTTTTCCCACAATACCATTTTCCTCTTTTGGACTCTGTCTGCAGCTTCCTTGTTTGGATATTTGAAATTGCTTATAAATCAGCAGTTTGAACGTAGAACAAAGCAGCATATTGCTTAGTTTTAGAACTGGGGTTATCCCCCTCAAATGGCAAATTACCAACTTTTTATTCATTATCCGTTTTCCTGTTCCATAATACTGCCTCAGTACTACAGACACACCTTTGCAATGAATAAGCCTGTAGCTTTGTGTTTTGAGATTCAGCAGAACTCATTTCAGGCTCAGCAAGCTCATTCCTTAAGCAACAAAACAGTAATAGTTAAGCAAGGGATTTTTAACTTCCTAGGATTTTGTCTTAGCCTGTTTTTTCTCTCAGGGCTGAAAAATGCTTACCCCCAATCCCTCACCCCACTCTGGAAGAAAATTGAGTTAATGTGGACTGTTGCTGGTTTTGGGCTTTCTACATCCTTGCATGTCCCTTCAATAGTCTGAAGACATAACTAGAATATTTTACTGTGGCTTTTCATCTACTCTGTAGTAGGCTATGAAATATGTGAAATGTTAAAAGAGAGAAAAAATGCTGTGTATTTATCTTACTACTTCTGTGTTGTTGCATTCAAATGTGCTTTCAAAAATTTTCAAGGAAGGTCGTTGTGTTTGGGGATGATTTTTTATTTTAAAGGAGAACAGTCAAAAGAATTGAAAGTATATGTTTTCATAAAATAGAATAAATACTAAACTAAGAGCCAAATAATAAAAAGTGAGAAACACTACCTAAGCAACTACAATATCACTAAGTAAAGAGTACACAGTTAAACTTCAGTTCATATTCAAGTTCATATTCATATCTTATCTGATACATACAGTGTGCTTTTAGTAAAGATCAGCCAACTTTTAGGAAGAACGCTTCTGTAAAGCTACATTATTACCTTGTGATTTCTTCTGCAAATTGTTCATCTTTTATATTTTTGTCTTTTTTATTTTCCTTTAACAGATGACCCTAAAGTGATTGTGGCCAACCTGACAGTAAGTATCTAGGACTGGGAGGTATCTCTGTCTACACTGCACCATTCACATCTTAATTTGGACCATTAGTCAACATTCTCTCCTCAGGAAAATCTCCTTTTTAGGCAGGAAAATCAACCATTAACATGCATAAAGAGTGCTAAATGGTGCCCTTCATGAATACAGATTAATGTTTGTCATAAGTTCCACTGTTTGCTGCTGTAGTAGCTTTTATAACCTTTTTGGGCAGTGAAGAGCCAGAATCTCCCTGATCATCTTGACTCCCTGAATTGAGTCTATTTATTCATTCCTTCAGAAATGGAAAGTAATCTTTTAGGGTAAATATTTTACTAGCAATCTGAAGACACTGAAAAAGTTTATTTGATAGCCTTCAGCTGTAATCTTGCTTTTAATGGTAAAAAAGTGTTTAAAATAAAAGCTGATAGAAAAAAATCAAATTTTGTAACCAGATGGCTTTAAATATATCTGCAGATGAAATGTATTTTGAGCATTGAACTTTCATCCAAAACTTGAGCTTTGGTCCAGCTAGAATAAAATTCTTCATCCGTGAGACCATCACGAGAATGAAGCTTTCCAAATACATCTTTGAATGTCTCCCTGGGCCCTGGACTTATGTAAATACTGCACAGAAAGGGATGGAATACATACACTAGATGTACAATTTGTTTTCAAGACATCATCAATAATGACCTTAACAGTTTGATTTCTGTAGTTCTGGGTTTTATGTGTGTCTAATCTAACTGACAGCAGTGTTATTTGTAACCATTTATTTTTCAGTGTAGAAAGCCAGACCAGCATTTCAAGCCTTACTTGAAACAGCACCTGCCTAAACGTTTGCACTATGCTTACAACCGAAGAATTGAGGATGTCCATTTACTGGTGGACCGCAAATGGCATGTGGCAAGGTAAACTCTTGCTTTTGCTTCCCTCCTGATTTTCAGCCTGTGGGTTGGTTGTTTTTGGGGGGTTTTTTGAGAAAATAAGACACCTGGGGTTGCCCTGTCTGTCAGCAACGCACTCCTGTACCCTGTGAGCAAGGGGAGTTTTGAACTCCTGGTGTGAGGTTCAATCACCAGTCACATTTGCTGCAGGGGGATGTGGCTCTGAACACAAAATTGGTTTTAGAGTCTGGGAAAATTAGTAACTAGATAGAGGGTAGAAACCTAAATTGGTTTCCTCAAGCAGCTGTGTGGTTTTTAACTGGTTAAAATATAGGAGCTTATAAGCTTTTTTAATGAGGTGCAAGTTTATTCCAACCAGGAAGCAGGGAATATGGGAGGAAGAGAAAGGCGTATATGACCAGGGGAACAAGAGGCTGAGTGGATGCAATGCAATGGGTGAATGGGAAGACAATGGAGACACTGTCAGCGTGGGTGAATACCTGAGAACAACTGGAAGAGTGGTCATCAAAGTGCTGGCAGTGTATTGTGTTGCAAAACAAATCCACAGAAAACCAGGATGCTTTAGCTCAGAGAACACCCTGGTTTGGGTGGTTGTTCTGCATATGCCTCTGAATTTTCAGTTATAAATTATGGACAACTTTTAATATTCTTAGCTAAAAATTGAGCAAGGAAACCCAGGTTGGCATATATATGTATAGAGTGAACAGGAGAGGAGTAGCCTTTGTTTATGAATTGTGCATCCCTTTCTGGTTTAACATACATTCTTGTTTTGATTGTTTTGGCACATGTTGTGTATTACAGTATGAGAATGGCTAGGTCTTTATGCATGAAGCTGACTCAGGGGTTCTTAGAAGATGACACAGCTTTTGGCTCATGGCAGTCTGTGACAAGCTTTAAATTATGGTAGGGTCTTTTGCCCGTATAGCTGCCAGGCAAACACACGGTGTGTTGCAAGTGCCTTCTGACATCTGTGCTTATCTTTCCGTGAATTATGCAAGGATCACTCTGCTAAAGCAGTGAATGAGAAACCCCAGTTGCTTTCTTGCACAATTCCACTAGCTGGCTGGCCTGCCTCCCCATGCAGTTTTTGTGGCTAGGGTTCATGTACATTTCAAAGAATCACACTCTGAGTTTTAGGCCTGTAAAAGTTTTAGTTTTAAGAATTTTACTGGAACTGATGGGATGGCCCAAGTTGATTTACACTTAGTAATTTCCTATTAATTACATCAGACATTCTCTGGCTTATTTATTTGTTAGATTTTCTGAAATCGTATTCAACAGTAATTCATTTGTTAATGTAACTGTAATTCATTGTATATTCACAGCCAGGAAAATGGTAGTTACACATCTGACTGCTGTAACTCTAGTAATTTACAAGGCCAAAATCAAACTTTGAGCATCATTTTACTGCAGATGAAGAAATTAACTTGTAGGATAATCTGGTCCACTGCATGTACATGGCCCTCATTAAACTGTAAGCAAGTACTCTGGAACAAGCCAGTAATTATAATTCCTATTTCACAATACTTTTCCACATGTTTTGTAAAAGAAGTACTCAGTAACAAGCTGATAATTAGTGTTCCTATGATAGAGCACTTATTTTCTCAGCCATTTATCTTCATGACAATTTTTCTTTCCTCCAGCTTTGTTTCTACTTCCCATTTTTGTTCATTGGGTGCAAGGCAAATGGGTGAAAGCATTTTACAGTACTGTATGACATTTGCAGCACTGTAACATCATGAAAGTGCTTTCCTAGGAGCCTCCGTTGGCCTTTTGAGGATTGGAATTGTATGGTCCAAAATATCTCCAGTCTATAGGAGATGATGTGATATGAGAAAGTCTGAGAAAACAAGTAAATAGATGCTAAGGTTGTTATCAGTGAGTAAGAGATGACACTTACAGGAGGAGCAGAGGGAGAAACTGGTGGTGTTGGATGAGCTTGCAGTCCCCACTACTGCTATTCAAGAAAAATAAGCAATACGTTGCCTTGTAACCTTATCCCTCCTACACTCAAACTGAATTGCCAGGTCAGCCACCATACCTACACCTTTGAGGAAATTTTCTAATACTTTTTCAATTTAGGAAAGCTATGGACGTTTACAAGAAACCAACGGGAAAATGTTTCTTCCACGGAGACCATGGCTATGACAACAAGATAAACAGTATGCAGGTATGAGCAATGCAGATACTTTTGTGGGAGGGCCATTGAAGGCAAGAAGAAATTGGAGGTCTCTAAAATGTAAATATTCACTGAAAAATATCCTACCTTTTAATGCTCTTCTTCTGTATTCTTCTCTCTTTGTTGTTGTTTTTTTTGGTTTTGTTTTTTTTATTTTTTTTTTAAGACTGTCTTTATAGGTTATGGCCCTACCTTCAAATACAAGACCAAAGTACCTCCTTTTGAAAATATTGAACTTTACAATGTCATGTGTGGTAAGCTACCTTTTTGAGAAATTTCAGGAGAAACACTCTGATAGCTAACAGGGCTTCATTTAGGCACCCATGAGCTCATGTCCTGACTCTCTCCCTGTGTCCCTTCCCCAGTCCCCACTTCTCAAGCACTTGCCTTTTGGCCAGCAGGCATTTCTTCAGGGCCTCAGCTTGCTCTACTCTAGCAGCTGGCCAATAAAATGGATTACGTTAGTTTTACTGTATGCAGCTTAGCAGATATCAAACACACACCACTACAGTGTGTGGTGTCCACACCTGAGCAGTCTAGGAAGGAGGTTTCTGCTCAGAGACTGCTTCTGCACCTGCATGGCTCATGGAGCAGCTCAGGGGCATCACTTAATTTTCTATGGCATCTCATGCTATGATTATGTTTTCTGAAATCATACTGTAGCCATGAAGAAGAATTTGATGATGTATGCACATATTCATTAGGATCTTTTCTTCAATACTGATTTTCCAGGGTGATAAAAGTTTCAAACCAAAGGTATCATTCACTTATTTTATTTTTTTTTCCAAAACATGAAATACCAAAAAGGTAATTATCCCTTATCTGTAAAGCAGGTGACTAATAACACTGTGTTCCAGATGTCTGATGTAAGGCTAGCACACTGACCATAGGTTTGCACTGGAAGATGCAGAAGTAGTTATAGTAAAAGTCTCTTCCAGTGTCTTGATGCAAATTGACCTTCTTGTCATAAATACTACCATACTATTCAGGCAGAATCTGCAATTTTATGATTTGGACAAGGGGTTAGTACTTCTATTACATTAAAAGCATTAACATGTGGTGGGTGTAAACAGTATTGCAAATACATGTCTTGGCTTGGCAGAGGTGCTGCTGAATACATGTTTGCAATCTAACCATCATTCATTTTTGGTGGCTTCATAGATCTGCTTGGATTAAAGCCAGCTCCAAATAATGGCACCCACGGAAGTTTAAATCACCTGCTGAGAGCCAATGTTTATAAACCAACTGTGCCAGATGAAGTTGCTAAACCACTCTATCCTGTCGCTCTACCTTCTGCATCAGATTTTGATATAGGATGTACATGTGATGATAAGGTAGGTGTTTAAGATCTGCTGATGCTTTCACTATTAGCAGTAGTTGCCTAGCAAAGTTGTAACCATTTTATCTATTTAGAGAGGGTTTGATCTGTAAGAATTTCCCAGATCCTTCCTGTGAAGTGTTTGTGCTCTTTTGGAACTGATACGGCTTTTTGTAAAACAGGAAACAAAAAAAAATGTCGGTGTTTTATAGCGCTAGTTTTGTTTTGCTAGATGCCTAGTAAAACAAGTTGTCAGAATGCTCCAGTGATCCTAATCTTGTTCCTTTTTTCTATTCTTGAGAAGAACAAGTTGGATGAACTCAACAAGCGCTTTCACGTCAAAGGAACAGAAGGTGAGATCCTGATGCCTCCGTTAATAAAAGCTATTTTTGTTTTCTTTTGCAAGTTACTTTGTGTCATTGGTATGAGAGAAGCTCCTGCTTTGGTTTACTTAATGTGTAGTAAACAGTCTTATCAAATAACTATCAAAATAACACGTAGACCTACATGAGATAAGTGGGCAAGATAAGTGCTACTCACATGAGGGAGTGCACACTATCTTTTGTTGTAACCAGGACTAGAGTATCGCTCAAAGTGATACGAGTTTTAGCACTCTTCCTTTCCATCCCCTTTAGGAGGTTTGATCTCTGCTGTGGAAATGGGGAGATGAGGAAAGGAGAGGGTGCACGAGGCAGTACTGCATTTAACCACAAGCTATAAATGGGGTAAAAAACATGGGCTACGTCTGCACAGTTTTACCAGTATCGTTCAGGCTTATGTTTCACCACGTCACTGGTAGAAAGGACGGTACAGCTGCTTTGACAGTCCTTGACTGGGAAGTGCAGAAATGCTCTGCTGGTTCAGGGATGCTCAGTGCACTTGTGTCCCTCTTCAGTGTTTGAGTTAATGTTACTCCCAGGAGAAAGCATCCCCTGCTCTCCTGGACACTAGTCCCTGCTGTATGCCAGTGCTGACTTTTGTGTGGCTTTGCTCCCGGATGCACCAGGGCAATGGTCCAGGTTAGAATATAGCAACAGAACCAGAGGGGAGGGGATGGGAACAGCTTTTCTGAACAATAATAGTGACTGAAAGGTGCACCAAAGCAGAGCTTTCCTTCTCACAGTTATGATCTGGTTCAGTATAACAAGTCACAGCATTCTCCTCACGATAACAATTGTCCAAATTAGCAATTTCTGGAGCTCTGAGTTTAGATGTGGACTTCTGAGATACTTTAAATCATATTGCTCAGATGACTAAGATTTTCTTAAGTCCCTTATGAAGCTACTTCTTCAGTTTTTGTTTTGAACAGGCAATGCAGCCTATCCTTTAGTTTCTAGAGGTGAAATGATTCCTTTTCTTTGTAAGTCGAAAGCTGCAAAAAGACAATTTATCTTGTTAAACTGATTTTCCCAATTAGTGACAAGCTACTTCCTGTTGTGGCAATTTCTGGCATCTGGAAAAAACACAACACGCTCACCATTGTACTCCTAGATATCTCACCATCTTTATTTGGTTTAAGGTTTTGATGCTTCTTTACTTCAGTAATATAAAAATAGTATTTTTGATGTATTTTAAGATACAAGCATTTAAACCAATCTCACTTGCTCATCTGTAAGTTGTCTGTTAAGTGGAATGAAGTGCCCCCCTTATTCTTTTTTTTCTGTGTCCTATAAAAGTATTCTCTATTTGGACTCAAACACTAAGAAAACTTGCACTTTTCTTTCAGGTTAAATGCCTATCTGTGAACAGTGTTAGGCTGCTTTCCTTGTTTCCATGTTTTGATATCTAAAAGCGAGGCAAGCCTGTCTGGCAAATGATTATCAAAATCGATTGCAATCATTGCAGCACGAGGCAAGAAGAGCCAGTAAATTTGTTTTACTTCTATCTCTTTCAGTGATGTTTCTGTCTTTTTATAAGCAAGATTGTCAGAGGTATTAGTGACATTTAACCATAATGTACCACCAAGACAGAAAAAAAAGCGCTAGCTTTGCAGAGTTGGAGGTGTCTTTTTGTAGCCAAAGTTAGGAAAAGCGTTGGTTTGTTTTCTTTGATATTCCTGACAGAAAAAGCACATCAGTCTTCAGAACATCATCTGTATCAGCCAAGTGGAAAAAAGTGTTCTTTTAGTGAGTGACCATTTTTGCCTCGCTTTTGAGAGGGGCTTTACAAAAAAAAACATAGGAAGGAGAATAATTCTGGGGAAGAGTGATAGGATCCTTGTGGAGTCTCCAGTGTTTGGAGAAACTCTCTCTCTCCATGCTGTGACCCCAACAAGCTTTCAAGTGCAGAAAAGACTTATAAGCAGGTTGTGAGCCTAGAATGGGGATTCCTATCAAAACTACTGAAGAACTGCTCCTCTCTGTTATGAGATTTCCTTAGTAGTTATTCAGGGTCAGTATCCCATTAAGGAGCACTGTAAAATCAGCCTGTGTTGGAAAGCCAACCCTTTATTTTTTTCATCTTCAAGGCTTTCAGTAATAAATGTTATTTCTTCTGATCTGTAGAAAAGCATCTTCTATATGGGCGCCCTGCAGTACTGTACCGCACAAAATATAATATCTTGCATCACCATGACTTTGAAAGTGGCTACAGTGAAACATTCCTGATGCCTCTCTGGACATCCTACACTATTTCTAAACAGGTTAGTGCTGTCTTTGCTCTTGAAAAAGTGCTTAAAAAGCCCTGGGGAAATCTGTTCAGTACCCGTATTCTTGAAGTCCTAGAATTTCCCTTATCCAAATAGATTTTTCCCACCAGGAATAACGTGAAAAATCATTGTAAGCAATGCCAAAATGCCTTTTTTTTCCTTCAGAAGGAAATAGTTTTAAGGCAGAAGGGCTGTATTTACTACTGTTATTTTTTTAAGTTTTGCTTGATGGGGATTAGTTTAATTATGATGGAATAATCAGCGACATAATTTGAATTATTTCCCATGGTGACTTCTGCTATGTGAAAGAGAGGCTCTGCAGCGGATAACAGGAGAAGGGAAGGATTTGGTTGTACAGCTCGGTAGTTTATTTTACTCTGCACAAGGCATTTCGTGTAACCTATGACTATATGAAATTGTTTTCTTTTAGTTATAAATGCTGGAGTTACTTTTCTTGTCATTTCTGCCTATGTTCCTCAATGCAGGCAGAGGTATCTGGTGTCCCGGAACACCTGGCCAGCTGTGTGAGGCCCGACCTCCGCATTTCTCCAGGAAACAGCCAGAGCTGTGCAGCCTACAGGGGTGACAAACAGCTCTCCTATGGCTTCCTTTTCCCTCCCCGTAAGTTCATATAGCCTTTAATATCTAGAGGTTTTGGAATTATCTTTTTTGTTGTTGTTGTTAGGGAAAACCTTAGGTATGAACTGCCTTCCTGCTCAGTATAAACAGACCAAGGGGTTTTTTGAGGTCATTGGGAAAGAATATAGGTAGGAATGATTCAGTTTCCCCTGTCTCTGGGGTGTTTTCTTCCTCTGTGATGTCTTCTCAGAGGAGCTGCTCCTGTACTGGTGTCACGTATGGGGCCCGGGGGGTTGGATACATTACTCTTGCTGCACTTGCTGAGGACCAAGGACCCAGTGCCACAAGTTGCTGTCATGGCTGTGATCCCTCAGCTCCATGAGAGATGCTCCAAACTGGTGCCCAGCTTCATGCACCAAAGCAGTGAAGTGTCCCAGTTTAATTAATAAAAATAAAGGCGAATGAATAATTTCATGGAGTAGGAATAGAAGCTAGAGGACAGTTTTCAAAAGTTGGCCCTTTAAAGTCAGTAGATAGATGCCAGCTTCTATCAACTGGGAATCTAGTCAGTTGTTAATTTTGAATTCAAAGAGCGGTAATAAAAATATATATTTGACTTATAAATCCAAATTAGACTCTTGCATACTCTAAAAATTTCTACCATCCTATAGAAATGGTGTTAGTAGAAAACCTGTGTAAATGCATGTCCTAGATTCTCCTTTGCAGTTACATTGGTTCAGTTTTGGTGCAGTGATCTTCTGGGATTAGTGAATATTCAAGGGACACAACTGTCTCACGCTTGTGAACTTCATTCCTCTGTCTTCCTTCAGCCTTCAGTGGCTGAATATTTTATGGTGGATTTCTGGTATGGAATTCCTGGTGCAGAGGCTTGCTCAGAAGAAAAAGATAATCCCACACTCCTCCCTGGAAATTGTTTGCCTCTTTTGCAACAGCCTGCAGAGCAGCTCACTGACTTTTAAGACTGTAAAAGTAGATGAAATATTTTGAACCGTCTTGACAGTTGAAGCAAAGATGAGCTATTAAATATTTTGAACTCTGACAGTTGAAGCAAGGATAAAATCCTTACATTCTATGTTCAGCTGTTGCATTAAAGACAAATTTTATGCATATAATGTGCACTTCTGAATATAGCTTTCAGATTGCTGTTTAGATGACAGTATTTCCTTTGATTAATCTCTGAAGCCATTTTTCAAATAATTTTTATATTCTTTGAGTTTCTGATAATTAATCACATTAATATTTTCCTGTTTTATTGTTTTCAGAATTAAGTTCCTCTGCAGAAGCAAAATATGATGCTTTTCTAATAACAAATATCATTCCAATGTATCCTGCTTTCAAAAGTAAGTGCCCTTTCCATGGCTTTACTTTTCTTTCCCAACATGTATGTTTGTTTGGGTTTTTTTTAATATGTGTGTTGGACTATAGAATGAACTGATGGGAGAAGTTTAGAACATAAAGTTCAGTTACCCATAGTCAGCAGACAATACATGTAGGCACCTGTATACTTCTAGGTATGGGCAGGCAAAGTACCACAAGAAAGGCTCAAGTTTTAAGAAAGGTTTATTTTTCTTAGTGCTGTGCTAAGAGCACAGAGGTGCTGTAGTTCAGCAATTATGCTTCATGCCACAGTAATTCAGTTTGGGCAAGACCATTCAGATTTTCTTGTCTGTATCCCAAGCTGGTGCAGAATGTATTTAGGCAATGTGTTTTTACTTCTCAACTGCGGCTGCCTGGGAGTGTGCACAAGCCTGGGAGTGTGCACTTGTCCCTGAACTACAGCAACATGCTAAGTGATTATTTTTGTTTTTTCTATCCATGCCCTTAAAGGGAGAACAAACATGTTTATTACATATAAAGAATAAGGAAGAGGAAACCAATTTATGGAAAATGAGGAATGACTTAAACCTGTCTGAAACTTCCAGCACTGTAGGGATATAGTATTAACATTTCTTTTGTCTGCACATCCCTTTTCTCTCTAGTTTTGCCAAGAGGTAGGAAACCCATGACTATTCTGGTGGCATTTTTGGCTTGGCAGGAATTGAGAAGCTTTGGAAGAATCTCAAGAGCCTGTTCTTGTGAGATTTCCAATTCAGACTTTAGGCCAGAGAGGTTTGGATAAACATCAAAGCCTATGGGAGGCTTTTTCTTTTTAACCAGAAAAGAGTGCTTTTAACTGAAAAACCTCTGAGTAGGAACAAGTGGTGATGTTTGCTGGAAATCTGAGCAAAGGCACTTAACTGATTACAGAGTGCAAAATTATTGGGGATTTCCTACTCTCAAATCACTTCATAAAAGTGCTCTTTATGATAATGTTAGTCTAAGCAAATTAGCTGAGATGCTAATCACAGCAGAAAAACCCACTTAGTAGTAGCTCATTTTGTCTAGTGGCCTTCCTCTTCATCACAAGTGGGTAAAGGATTCCCTGAGAACAAATGCTGGAGCTAATGTCATTCCTGGGGAATTACAAACCACTGCATGTGTGCAGATTGCAATGCTGAGAGCTGATTATAAACTCATTATACGGAGCTTTTTTCACTACAAGGGAAATACGAGGTGGCAGTTTTATGCTATGCTGGCCTTGGTGGCAGTGCTGGCTGCAGAGGCCCCCTCCTCTGCTTTGTTGTTTTTGTTTGGTTTGTTTTTTTTTTTAATTCGCTGTTCCATCACATCCCCCGGGCAATAATTCTGTATCCATCTTTTCAGTAGTGAGTCTGGATAAAGCGGCTCCTGCCTTGTTGGAGCTGCAAGATGATGCCCCTGGGCTGGCTTCCTGTTGCACTGGTGTTGCTCTCCGTGTGGCTGCAGTGGGAACCTAAGTGGGAAACTGATTCAGCCGGAAAACTCAGGGGGAGAAAAAAACCCTTTCCTTTTTGGGCTATTTTTATTGTTAAGGCTGATGCTTTGGAGGAGCAAGCAACTGGAAGAGTGGTACTGCCACATGGTTACCGCAGCTGAGGTTCTTGTTAGACCACTGCTTGTGGGGCCCCTGCACCAGGCCAAGCAGGGAATTTGTGTGGCACTGAGGAGTCTCTGGACAGGCATACTGGGGAACTGGGGCTGGCATTGCCATCGGCACTGGGGAGCCACAGACTTAACAGTTTGAGCTGACAAGACAAAAATTAAACTTTTACAAGTCTGAGATATTTTGTTTACACGCACTTTTGTTAATGTTAAAATAGAAAGGAAAAAAGAAGAATTATGTAACTGGAGATTCCACTGTGTTTCTAGTCTCTGTAAGCATCTTAACTTGTTTAAGGTTGAGGAGTGCATGGTGGGAGAAAGAGTATCCTGCTCTTCCCAGAAGTTGCTGTAATGAGATGCTATGCCATAATATGGTCATCCCTGATGGCACCTAATTTAAAAGTGAGACATTTTGATTCCAAGGAGAATTTAACTGGAAGAATATGACCTTTGTCTTTCCCTTTCTTTTAAAATGTTTGGGGTTTGCTTTTAATCATGGTGCTGTTTCCTTTCTAGAATTATACACATCATCGTTCCCTGTAACTAGATAAGAAAGACAAAGGAAGTGTTTACAGGGACATCAGAAGGCGTGTGAATAGCTGTTTCTACTGCTTGGTGAAGGAACAGCAGACTCTCTGTGCAATGTCTGTGGCAATGCCAGCCTGGGAGTGGTACTGGGCATTTCCTTTATCACTGGTTGGAGAAAAAAAAAAATCAACAGAGAACAAAGAAGTCTGAATAAGCTTTATTGACCAAACTGAATGAAGCTGCAGTAAATCTGTAATACTTAGTCTTTGATTTCCCATACCACTCTGTGAATTATGTCCACTGGATTTTTATTTTCAGGAAAAAAAAAATGTTTATAATCTTGATATGTTTTGACTTACCCAAATTTTGGTGCGTTTTATATTTTTTTGCCTTTTTTTTTTTCTTTTTTCTCCCAACAGAGGTATGGAACTATTTCCAAAGGGTTTTGGTGAAAAGATATGCTACTGAACGAAATGGAGTCAATGTTATAAGTGGGCCAATCTTTGACTATGACTATGATGGTTTACATGACACAACTGACAAAATAAAACAGTAAGAGTTTGTCTTTAAATTGCTTTGCTGTTGCTTCTCTTAATGATGGCTTTATCTTAAACAATTCATTATCTGCACATTACTCAAAATTTGGGAGGAGATAAAATATTCCAGCTCTTTCTAAAATTACTGTTCATCAAAACTGAATGCCCCTGTAGGTGGAACAGTGGTAAAAATTCAGCAGGTAACTGTTCACCTTGACTTTGAAATTAAATGTTCATTCATTCTTGAGACAAAGCTGAATTATGTTCCAAATAATTGATTTTCTCTAACATTGTCCAGAATTTAAGAGTTGACAACTGGATACCAGAGCTAACTATAGCAGTGCTATTGAGTTAAATAGTTGAGCCTTTCATTAATTCAGTAATGCTTTCTCTCTGTCCCTGAACTGAAGAAGCTTTTCAGCACTGGTGTGTGGTATTTCTATAGCACAGTATCAAAACATGAGCTAATTGAATGCTTATTTTGAGACAGTGTTTAGGAATCAAAGGCATCTCAACAGCGTACATGTGTCCTCACACGTAGGGGAGGAACGACCATGCTGTTTGTGTAACCTTCTTCCAAACAAGTTTATCCTTTGTGGATAAATGTTTGCTTTATTCCTCCAGGTTTGTGGAAGGCAGCGCCATCCCTGTTCCTACTCATTACTATGCCATCATAACCAGCTGCTTAGATTTCACTCAACCAGCCGACAAATGTGATGGACCACTCTCTGTTCTCTCATACATCCTTCCCCACCGGCCTGACAATGATGAGAGCTGCAATGTAAGTTCTGCTGCACTACTATAGCCCCATCATGAATGTATCCCTGGGACGTGTGAAACCCCATTACTATTAGATGCTAATGCTCACTGATGTCTTGAGCGAAAGCACAGGGTAGGGACTCTAAATGTCATGTTCAGCTCATTAGACAAAAGCACTCCTCTGTGATATTAGAGAAAATGTGGAACTATTACCACACCTAAAATCTGGAAGAACTGACATATACAGTAGGTTGGCAGTAAACAACCTGTAGGCTTCTATGTTTTGGCAGACATTGTCAGTGTAATTTCAGAGCAGATTGCGAGGAGGTTGTGTGCATAGACATATCATGCTGGCAGCCAGCCTAATGTTTTTATTGAGGTCTGTTTCCGTATACAGGTATGATATAGTCTTGTCTGTTATGGCAGTTGGGATGCATCAGACAGCATGATTATATCCAACCCACACAGTATTAAGACTATATGCTAAAACCTGCCTAGGGTAGATGGCAGCTCTTGCTGTTTCCAGAACATGTCTGGATTCAAGGGGAACATTTGGATTCTTATTAACAGCGATAACCAGACACCTTTCTGGTTCCTTTGCTATCTTCCTTTAGGATGCAAGATCCCATAGTGTAAGAATCTTGGTGAAGTACAAAGGTACTGGTCAGCACTGTAGAAAGTAACATACACACTCGGCAGCTGATCGTGGCCGGAGAGCAGTCGGGTCCCCACGGGCTCCAGCGCTCTGCAAGGACAGCAGTCCTCCCAGGCAGCTGTATTTAGACTTGTCCTTCCGCCTGAACTTGTTCTCCCATTACACAGCTGTGTGGATTCCTGCACACAGACACTTCACTATAGGCTGCCAGGAGACCATTTCCTGAATGAACGCATTAATGTTATGAATTTTGTATTGGCACAAAAAGTTAAGACTCCTATTCCAACTACAGGCAGAAATAGTAATTCCAACTCTGTACACAATTCACCTGGAACACTGTCTCTTTCTCATTCATCAAACATCGCCTGCTTTCAGATCCCTCTTCTTAAAACCACGCTTCTGGAGCAGTATCCCTCTCTCTTGAACAGGTCTGGCTTCCTCCTGTTTAGACTCTTAACTGCTTTGAGCAGACATGTCTTCTACCAGGAATCTCAGAATATATTTCGTTGTGTTTTTTTCTCTGGACTGCTTTCCTCTGAATGGAGATCCAGTTGGTGATCTGGAAGTTAGTAACCTGGCAGTTATTAGTGCCTCTGTCCTTGTATCTCTGCCCATATGCAATCTGATTACAAAGTCAATCATTTTCCTCCTTATATTGCCTGTCATGGTACTCTTAAACTGTTGAAATCTTTTTTATGAACTCTTTAGAATAATGGCCTCTTTTACTCTTTGATTTCTTATATTCCAACTGAAGATTCTTTTCTCTGTAGGTCATGCTACTTCTTGTGTGTGTGTTTACAGTTCTGGGGGGAATGTCAGTGCTACTACAAGGTTATTAGCAGATACTGGTCTACGCTTTTTACATAGCAAAGAACCACTTCAAAAATATTTAAATGTAGCTCTAGAATGAAAATACAGTTAAGCAATATTTTGCGATTCAAATATGGTGTCAGTCTTACTTTTGCACATGGTGTTCTATCTTATTTGATCAAAGAAGTGATTGTGTAAAACCTCACATACTTTATGGATGAAATGCATGGGATAAGACAAGAATTTTTCCTTAACCTCTATACAGCTTTCTTAAGATCTGAAGAAATATTAGCTTTCCACACCAACTCCGCTCTTGTTGCACACGCTTACTCTCTCTTCACATGGCTGTTGCAGAACACGGCTACTCTTCTCATTTGAGTTTGTTACATTTCCAAACTGTATTATTCATGGTGAGGTTATACCCATTTATTCTTATGTCAACATTTTTGTATGGCTTAAATAGCCCTTCACTGGGCTTCTTTGGGATTTACCCTAGTGATGATTTATGATGATTCCCAAGGCGTATATTTCTCTCTATTCATGGGACACCTGAGATCTTTGCTTTCCTTGTAAGAGAGGATGAGCATTTTAGTAGCCTTGCTATGCATCTGTTTGAGTCCATTTTTAATTTTTTATTTTTCTGGAACATGAATGAAATAAAGTACTCCAGGTGAGATCTCAAAATGGAAATTATTTTCTTTCCACTGGACAAAACTCCTCTGATACTATCTGATTTACTTTTCCAGAGCTGTGTTATAACGGTAGCTTGCAATCATGCACAACCAGTACACCCAGGTACTTCTATCTGCTGTTTCACCCGAGAAGCTCCCAGATTAGCAGAAATTTTTGCTGTCATTGTGGATAACCCCATTTCATACTCTACCAGGGCTCCCACAGCTGCATCCTCCAGTATGTTATTCCAGTCTTCCTCTGCATTGACAGGAGCTCTCAATTGTTGTTAGGTTTGGGTTGTTTTTTTTTTTGCTAGCACACTAATGACCTTGGCACAAAAAGCATGTATCAACACATTACACAAAATCTTTACCAAGACTGAAGCTGAAGACACCCTACTAAAAACTCCCTCCAGTCTACTCTTATCCCTTTAAGCAAAGCCTTTAAATTTATCTTTTAATAAGTGAGTTCCTCACCCACCTGTCTATACTTTCACCAAAAATTCCAGCTAATAATTTAATATCCAGAGATCCTTTTGTCCAGAATATCTGGTATCTTTTCCAGTGGATTTTAGTTTAGACTCCTAAACTGATTGCCTATTTCTATTTACCTCCATATTTTCAATTGTTGTTTTTTCCTCCTAAGTCTCACTGTCCTATTGAGGTGGGACTAACCAGCACAGATGGAGAAAACTAGCGTTTTAAATGTATACACTTTATTTGTTGTTCTGCAGTAACATAATACCATGTTAGCTGATCGCTGTCTTTCAAATCATTGCTGCTGGACCTGAGGTTTCATGGGACAGTTGTGGAACGGAAAAACTAAAACCTAGATCAGGTGATTGATATTCTGGGGTCATACAAATTCTGTCTTGCTGGACTTGCCAACCTCACAGTCCTGTGATTTATTCATACTGCAGATCTTTTGCAAACTCTTAGGAGTCCTCCAGGTGAGCTTTGTAGCAATTGGACTTACCTCTGAGCTCTGTAAAATGCAAATTTCCTGCTCAGAAGGAAGGCTTGAAGACAGCAAAAATAACACAGTGATTCCGTTTGCAGTAATAACGTGGCTGAGGCCTGGTGTGCAGAGCAGGCTGGAGGCTGGGCAGGAGGTTTCCCGCGGCTGCCTGCTGCCAGGTGACGCTCCTGGAGCATGGCCCTGCCGGGGCACACTCCCTTCTCCTGCCTCTTAATTTGCATCTTTCTCTTCATGTTCCAGACCTGGTTTGGGGCCTCAAGTTGCTAGTGACGTGGAAAGGAAAGTTGGTTTGGAGTCGAAAAGCTTCAAAACAGACAAGTGCTGACTGGGTCATGGATATTTGCTTTAGAGCAGCCAGCTCTGACATAGCTGGTACTTCGTGTCCTCTCTGTGCAAACGATCCCTCTCACCCTCCTGGCCTCTGCAGGGTGACCCACTGCCTGCTCTGTGGCACATCTATGGTCTTCTGTAGGCTTTGGCATTGCTGAAGCTTAGTCTTCATAGGTGATAGGATCACTTTGTAGGAGGACTGTGCTGACACAGTCAAAAAAGGGCTCGTTTTCAGGAGTAATACATTTTTATCAGCAAGATTTCCAAGTTGCACACATGGTGTTCAAATGCCTGGAGGCCAACCCTCCATTCCTAACTTGCTTCCCCAGCAGTGGTGTAGATGTACCAGCCAGAGAGGTCAAAGGGGAACAAGTCCTGTTTGCTCTGTCCTTTTCCCACGTCTGCTCCCTGCAGTGTAGTCCCCGGGGCTGGCTGCGTCGCTCATGGGACGTGTCACTGGGCTGGTTAATGCGCTCAAACATAGTAACTGCAGTGTTTTGCAGGCTGATTTTTCTGATGTGTTGGTGAGTTACATTAGCGTGTGGATGGCTCTAACGTGTGCCAGAGCTGGCACAAGGTATGCAGCAGGAGCAGTCCCCAAAGAGAGATTACACCCATGCAACCTGACCCTGATTGCTCTGGCAATATCACCCTCCTGATTTTTTTATTTTTTTATTTTTTTTGTATTGGGAAATGATTAGTGAAAGTCTTTTTTTTCTATCGGCGAATAATACGTATGTTCCAATAACAGGATTTTATAGATACCAACATAAACCCCATAGTTCCAACTGTGGAATGAATCATAATGGTCTCCTAACAGTAAAGTGGAAAGATTAAAATAATGTTGTTAGATGATATGTTGGTCAGATGAAAATAATGTGTAGGGGTAGGGTTCAAAGTTAAACAGCCTAGTGTTTGGGCTTTGGTAATTCACAGCTGATTAATATGGAGCTCTTTCTGAGAGATAAAAAAATATGGAGTGACCAATGGATCTTCTAAAAGCATATGGCTGTTCTGAAACCTGAAACATGGGGACCACTTTTCCTAGTTGACTATGGTCATTGTCTCAACCCCATCCTAAAACCCCATCCTAAAACTATAGGAATCATTTTGCATGTTAAATTTCACATCTGTTTTCTTGGAACTTGTTTACCTTAGTCATTCCTGAATAGGGCACAGAGATTCTTCAAATGGACCCGATGTTTAAAAAGGTTGTGTTTGCTTTCAAAGCTGATTTTTGACATGGCATGTTATAAAACTTTTTTTTTTTTACATTTCAGAGCTTGGAGGATGAATCAAAGTGGGTTGAAGATCTTCTTAAAATGCACACTGCGCGTGTGCGTGACATTGAACAGCTCACAAGCTTGGACTTCTTCCGAAAGACCAGTCGCAGCTACACAGAAATCCTCTCCCTAAAGACTTACCTGCATACGTTTGAAAGTGAAATTTAGCTTTCTAACCTTACTCAGTGCATCCTTTTATCAACTGGTGTATATTTTTATATTGTTTTTATATTTATTAATTTGAAGCCAGGACATTAAAAATATTAGTATTTTAATCCTGTATCAAATCTTAAATATTAAACCCTTGTGTCGTTTTGTTTCTGTAATGTTTAATATAGGTATGTCTCTTGGTTTATTTAGTAGCGCTTGTAATACTGCAGCTTGAGTCCTTACTCTGAGCTTTTAAGTGGTGCTGCAGGATTTGATACGTGCATCAAGGAAATATTAATTTCCCATGCTCCTTTACCACACTTGTAGTCCTGTACTGTGTATCAAAATACTGAACATGTAAGATTACATTCATTTACTGTTAACTATGTGACAGACATATTTAAACCCTATAGACAAATAGCATCTTAAATATAATAAACCACACATTCAGTTTTTTTAATGTGTTTTGATTTCCTTTCACAGGGACATTCAAAGGGACTTGCAGGCAGCTGAGTGCTGTCAGATCTCCCTTGTTCACTGGGCAGAGCCCTTCTCAAGAGCTTAGGTTTGCTGGTAAGAGGACTGACAGGAGCTCAGGTGTCCTGCCCTGGTGCTCAGCAGTGAGACCATAAAACAGACACTCGTGGTACTTGTTACTGGTTAGGTTTTGCCATAGGGGCAGAGCTGGGAGACGTGGTGTGCTGATCTCCTAAGCTACCAGGGGTACCCCATGCTTGAGGCCACTTAGCCTTGGCCCTGCTCTGCAGCTGTGGAGAGGATGCAAGGTAACATCTGCTGCCACCGGTTGGGCTGTGTTGAATCCCTTCTCTACTGCCACTGCTCTGGGCTGGTTCCTGGGAATACCTGTTCCACTGTCTTTTGCTTTGACTTTGAGGGAAGCTGAGGGAAAGCAGATGTTCACAGAGGTGACATTGTGAAACACCCAGCAGTGGGCTTTTACCTGGGAGGAGAAAAATCTGATTTTCATCGTCTTGTTATAACGGCCAGAATTTTCAGAGATTTCCTCTAATCTGAGGCTGAGTCTGAGGCTTGATACCAGCCCTCATTCCCAAAGGAAGCCCCTTGGTATGACTGCACATATATAACTTCTGGTACTGTGAACCCCATACAGTGCACCTGACTTACAACCATCCCTACCCGGTCAAGCGGGTCAAGTGTGTGTTGGCTACTTCTATGCAGTCATGGCCTCGCAATCCTAACAAGTCCCTATGAGTGACATTGATGGCACAGTTAGAAGCCAGTGGAGGAGACACTGTTGTATACTGGTATCTAGATAACGGCCTGATGTGGCTTGGACAGCTTTTACAGAAGGCATATGGTATGGAGCATTAGGATTAGTGTAGTTAGATGATGCAAAAGATAAATTAACACTTAGAATGCCTCTTGAGGCTGAACCCACTAGTGGCACTATTACAAAGCCATCATTTGGGGTTGTAGATTTTCCTCTCTCTACCAGAGTGGTTTGTGTCTATTTTCTCTTTGAGGTTTGCTAATGCTGGAGGAAATGTGGAAGGGCTGGAGAGCATCTCAGCCGTGTACACAGACAGATAGCCAGGTCTATGAAGTAAAATTAATCTGGCACAATTTTAGCAACTTTCATCCCTGTAGCATCCATCTAAGAGAATGTAGTAAACTGGAATTATTCTTGTTAACGCTTGTAGATAAAGTTCTTGTGACAGTAGCCAAAATTTTATTATTCTAGGTGCCAAATTTTGTTTAAATTAGAAGAGCACAAAGCTTGAATGCTTTAAAATCCCCTCAAAATGTTAGGCTGGAAATTCTAATAACTGCACAAGGCTCTGGGAAACATCCTATTCTTTAACTTTAAAATTGTCTCTTGTGGTTGTCTGGTAGCACAGAAATATTTTTCTGTAAACTTTTGGCAGGGCTTCTTGCCATGATAAACTTTGTGTTCTTACATGTACTACAAAGGGTATTTCCTCTGGTTTTAAAACAGTTTTCTGTTAAGACCAAATTTGTCCAACACCAACTTTAGCAATGATATACTGTGGTGGTTCATAAACTAAGCCAAGGACCACCACTACTGTGTTGCTTTGACATTCATCTGTTGCTTTGCTTTTTTTTTTTTATTTTTTATTGCAGTCTAACAAATGATTTAATCATTTTATTTTTTCCAAAGTAAGATTATATTTATACCAAAGGGACATTTAAGCTCTGAAAGATACTCTTGTTGTTAGTTTGCTTTTTACATATAGTAAGTGATGATTGTTGCGAGAGATGGTTTATCTCAATTTCACTAAAGAATGACAATTAGTGTGCAGGGAAATGTGATTTTTTTAAAAAAATGCAGTTAATTATTGTGAGAATAAATATTACTAACTTCTGTTCTACTTATTTCTCTTCAGTCCTTGGCCCTGTGCTCTTGTATAGTACTGCTGTTTTATTTTACTGTGCTGGCAGAAGTAGCTGTGCAGGGGAATGTTTGTGGTGACTTCTGTGAATTACATGGGGTTTTTTTCCTGTTGAAAGATGCCCTATCAACACAAAAGCTCCAGTGCAAAGCTGAAGCCTTGTAAATCCCTCTAAGCAACATGAGCTCTGCAGGAACAGCAAACATTTTTAAGGAAACTTGTAATTTCCCTTTGGTATTCATCAGGGTGAATGTTAGCTTAGGGCAGCGTGTAGGAAGGAACCCCTCTGCTTTCCATTCCTGTTAGACCATTTTGAAAATATGAAATACTACTTGCTTCTGTTACATGTTTCCTTTTCTTGATATTATTCTGTTTTCTACAAGAGGTCCATTGAGGAGAACAAGCTCTGAATTTTTCTGTCAAGCAAACACCAGTTTTGAGTCTTTAGGTAATTACTGTTTGCAGTTGGTGATGTAAATTTGAAGCATGTTTAATGAGTTAGAGGTTGATCAGTTGTCACGACAACAAAAGCCATAGGTGTCCTGCACACCCAACAAAGTCCTGCTCTAGGAAAAATCCTCCAGAGGTAGTTATGCAACTAGAATATTCCTGTTACAGGAAAGTGTTACTTTTTTAACCCCTTTTTTGCTGTCACAAAGCAGAACAAAATTCTTAAGAGATAAGCACTGAAAGCAGGTCAAGTAACCTGACCAACAGCATGGTTATGATGTCAAAATTACAGCAAGAGTCACCATCTTATACTGGCAACAGTGACATACTTAATTATCACTGTTTACATTCTGTCTTGATTAGATTCATACTTTCTGCTAATTCCCTCTTCTTTATTTCCAGCTTTTAGTCCCTTTAAGGTGTTAAGTGCAGTGTTCAACATCTTCTTCACTCACTTGGACACTAGCACTGTTTTGATAATGGCAGATCAGTTTTTATAGTGTTATAAAGCACTTTCAGCTCCAGATGAACTCGAAAATTAAAAAATGAAATTGTCAGGTCTGTGTCCTCGTGGGAATGTTTCCACTATTCACAGGGATCATGTAAGTAAATTTAAATACCCATGTTTAATTAGGCCAATCTTGCTGTGTCCCTAGAGGCTGCTACAAAACAATCCTGCCACAGTCCCCAGCTTCTCAGTGCTTTATATGCAAACAGCCAACTGACTGTGTGAAGATTTTAACAAATGAAAACGCTGCACTTTTTGTAGGAAAGGCCAGAAAACAAAAGCAGTGATGAAGAGATAAGAGAGGAAGTTTCCCACTTCGGGGGACAGAAAAGGCTGAACAGGTTGAAGGTCCAGGAGATGCTGTCAGAAGGGAACTGGGGCTGAGGAAGATTTATTTGGCAGGTTTATAAAGCCCCTGCTCCCTCTGCATCCGGCTTCTTCCAGTAGATCAGTCCTTCATGTACAGCAGATGAAATAGCTCCCAAATTTCTGCACAGAGCCAGGAAGCAGAAAACTTCTCAGGAAAGGTGAAGGAGTTCTCTGTGAAGGTGTTGCTAGTCGTAAGAGCCGAACAAAACTCCAGAAGTATCAGGGCCTGCGCAGGGAGGTCAGAGTGCAGGATCTGACCTGAAAGAGACAGACTTGTAGCAGCTGGAGCTGATGTTCCGGCAGTCCTTCCCTCCAGGCTCATGTCCACCCCAAACATCTTTAATTAACTTTAAATTTTCATTACAGAGCTGAGCAGCTTACTTCTCCTGCTCTCTGCAGGAGACAGAGGAGAGATTGCTTATGGTGCAACTGAGAAATTCCCATTTAAAAAAAAAAAAAAAAAAAGCCCAAACAACTGCAAGCCCCCTACCCACAGAGGGTCAAGTGCACTTGTTCTGCCCTGTAAGAGAGATGGGAGGAAAACCGGTTTTCCCAGAGCAGGGGAGTGTGTGGGTGCTGCAGACCTGCCACCTCCCCTCTGCTGTAGTATGGTGCTCTTCAAACAAGTTTTGCACTTATAGCAGTGGGGTTTATTCTGCTGGTTTGGCACATAGAGACAAATGATACTTCATAGCCTTGCTGGGAGGTGGCTGTTATCACTGGCATGGATGAAACTGTGGCATGGAGAGGCTGAATAATGTATTTAAGGACATGCATACAGTGAGCCTAGTAAAGCTGGTCACAGCAGTCCTGCATTGGGTTTAATATGTGACATTTAAAAATAATTTCTGGTAGTGCTACTATTGGTGGGAGGTTAAGTTTTGTAAAGCAGAAACCTCAGAATCATGTGGTGAAATAAAATTGGAATACAGGGCTATAGAAGAAAAACTCCCTTTGGGGACAGTAAATCATGCTGAACTAGCTTACTATCAATCCCATCCATCAAAATGCTTGTGATAGGCCTGTTTCCTTACCAGAGACCTCCCGTGGCCACAGAGAGGTGCCAACATACATGTCTGTCCGTCCTGTCTGTAGCGCTACTCCAGCTTGATTTTGTGCCTCTAGTTTCCATTTCCCTTGCTGCAGTCCAGACAAAGATTGCACTTGACCTGAGATACATGGTACAGTCATGGTAATACAAGTATACTCTGATCAGGATAGACCTGCCAGCAAATTTTTAGGACCGTGTTAACTGTACATCTTCCAAGTGGGGCCATATGTGTTTGAAATGTTTAAAGTTCAACCCTTGTTCAAGACAGGAGAAAAAAAAAGACATTTTAAACATTGTGGAAAAATACCTAATCTCGTTTCTTTGCACTTGTTGGTAAATATAAGATAAGAGCAGCATTCCCAAGGTTACTGCAAACAGCCCATCACTACAGAGTACAAGCTAACATTTACTAAAATGTATGTTGACATAAAAAGCAGCATTGCCGCAGTCAACTGCAACAAACAAAACCACAGATTTCTTCGCCTTTACAGGTCAAAAGTTTGGGATGTAACCTATTCAGACCTGCCCTCACAAAGGAAAATCCCTGCCCTGCTATAGCATCCATGGTATGTGCACAGTTGTTCTTACCTGCTGTTTTCTAAATGTGGTACGGCAAGGCAGGTGGAGGTCACCCTGGTTTCATCTGCAGGTTTCACCATGGAGAGATCAGCAGGCAAAGAAGTT